CATACCATCATCAGCAACCATGAAACTTGAGCTTTGAGAAACAAAATGACAATTAGATGTCTTTAATTTCAATTGACCATCAATTGGACTGCATCTGTTGCATCCTTTTAAAGAGGGGGTGTTGAAAATGTCCAAGTGTAACACCCGTGTTTGTGTCGACCTTTTTTATGAATTATCACAGATATTTACGTATGAAACAATGTTATTTTTGGAGTTTACTTATATATGTTTACCTTGAGGGGGTTTTAGGGTCGAAAGAATAGAGAAATCAGGGGTTTTCGGTCCTTCGAGGGGTCCCAACAACTTCCCTTTCGACTTGGGTAGGGGCCCAAGTCCCCTAACTCACTTGAGAATTGAAGCAAATATGAAAAAGGGACACAGTGAGTCACACCACCTGGGTCGTGGCATATGTCGTGTAGAAAGGCAAGGGGCACGGGCTAAAGGTATGGGCGACCTAGGTCGTGGCCAGGTTTGCGGCACTTGCCCAAACCCGTTTTTAACTTGATTTTTTTTACCTAGTATCATCATGTTTTCTTCCCCTCGTCTCTCTTACTTCATTTAAGGGAATTTTGGGAGCTAGAAAGGGTCTTTATTGAAGATCCAAGAGCATTGTGGTTTGTTCTTAGAGTTTTCATTGAAAGGTTCGGTTTGATCCAAGAGCATTTGAGGTTTGTTCTTAGAGTTTACCAACTCACCCTTGCCGTCTTACGACCGAGCTAATAAATTTAGCTACTCATAACGGAAAGAAAATTGCAAGAAATATAAATTGCGCTAAATAAAGGCATAAAATTAAATAACGGAAAGTAAATGACGGAAAGTAAATGACGGAATGTAAAGAGCGAAAAGCGTAATAAATAAATGACGGAAAGTAAATTGCAAGAAAGCGTAATAAATAAATGACTGAAAGTAAATTGCAAGAAAGCGTAATAAATAAATGACGGAAATTAAATTGCAAGAAATAAAGAGCAATTAAAAGAAAAACTTGGAAAAGACTTCTAACAAAATGTTGCTTATACTTTTAGAGAGAGAAAAAACCTACAAGTAGTAAGATAACTACTTCAGATATTGAAGGGATGATCAAAATACTAACCCCAATATCTCTATATATACTAAAATAGAGGTGAGGAAAAATAGACAATTAACACAAAATTAGATTTAAAGTAGCTAAAAGTACAACTAAAACAAAAAGTTAAAGGTCTAATTGTACTATGTTCAAACAACTAATTTCCAGATATTTAAAATAAATACAACTGGAAAATACAAAAATGTATTTAAAAAAGTCAACTCTTATCATGTCATGTAGCTCCTAGCTTTCTATCTTTGATAGCTCCACTCGTAGGTCATGTTGCAGCAGTCCAGTAGCATCAACCAGCTTCAATATGTCCTAAATAAGTTCACATTAGCCTATTATAGAGTAAAAACAGGTAAATCATTTACTCTAGCTCCATAAACAAAGAAGTGGAAAATAAGAGAATAAAGTGACTCAATGTTGGGGTATGAATGAAAAATATCATATCTAAAAGAAAAGAAAAGAAAAGAGTGTTTAAGCACTAAATAATAAGTGCATATCACCCACGTTGACGAAGAGTTGAAAGATTGAGAATACGAAGGTTGGTATATGAAATGAGGAGAGACGTTTTTGAAAGTTAAAAGGGTTAGTTAATTAAATATACCTTTTGGCAAACCCTTTTCTTGAGAAAAAAAAAAAGATAATGGAATACAAGTAGATATATGAAATCAGATTTACAAAAATAATCAATTAAAGCAAATGTTACAAGGAAGATGATGAGAATTGCATTCGGACTTGCATAGTAGTCTGTTTATACAAAAAAAAAAAATAGAAGTATGGAAATAAACAATGAAATCAAATGTTGCACTGTTGTTAACATGAATTTTGATCGATGCATGACGCATGGTGCCAAAGACTAGTTTCTTTAATAGAAAAGTAATGTAAACGCTTAGTTTGTTTGTCAACAACCCATACAACATCATACCCTCTTCAATCTATGGGTGTTCTAACTACAAAGTCCATCATCATGTATAAGATCCCACTTTCATACATGATCTTCGATATTTCTTGACCACCATTAGCTTTTGGAGGTTTGACTTTGATCCACTGACATGTGTGACATGTCTCATCATAGCGGTCAACTAACGTTTTCATTCTTAGCCACCAATACATCAACTTCAAGTTCTTATACATCATATCGTTACTAAGATAAGTTTTAAGTATTTAAAGTTATGGGGTTCATTTAATATTTTTTTTCCAAATGCACCATATTTTAGGATCCATACTCTCATGCCTTGAATCTTTTAATGCCATTGTGTGGATCCTATAATGCACCATATTTTAGGATCCATTAAGCACCAAATGTATTTGATGATCTTATAATGCATTATCATCTGTCTTACTGTCAAGATCATAATTTGTTCAATTTTCACATGTTTCTTGATTTTGGTGCGGAAACCTTTGGATTATTTGCTATGTTTTCTTATACGTCATCGTATGCATGTAATGTGTAATTTGTTTCTTGTAGCTGAAATTATAATTACTCCAGTGATCTTTTATTTGGATATCTAATGAAATATTTAAGTATATTTGATCAATTTTCAAGAACAAACCTTTTTGATCAACAATCGAATTCGTCAATTTGCCTTTCTTGTCTGTTTCCGTCATGGAAGGTGTTATCTCGATCACAAAATTTGAGTAGAAGTAGCAAACAAGAAATGAAATGGCAAAATGAATCAGTGGGTATGAATTGCTATCAACATATACGACTAATAATGAAATACACAATTGTGGTAGATTCGTTAAATTCAATAAAATTTAATTTCTTAAATCAGTATTTGTTTCAAGTGGATAAGAAATCATGGAGGGGAGGTCAACAACAGTGTGTAAGGGGAGGGGATCGTTGTTAGTGGTGTGCATGAGGAAGGATGACTGGATGAGGTCGAGTGTGAAGGGACAACAGGGAAACACAATGAATTCGACAGTATGGGGAGCCAATGATGCGTGATGTTGGTAAGGTGGGGTCAATAAGGGTGTTGTCAGTGGGAGGTAGGTGTCGGTGGCAGGTGTTGTTAATGAGAAAAGTGTCGATGAAAGCACTCGAGTTTAATAGTTGTATGCTACAAGTATAATGGTATATACTGGTATTTTACCTCGGATCTGATGTAAACGGTGTTAGAAGTCAAATGACCTTTTTTGGGCTTTTTACCATTTTATATAACATCCCACAAAAATTAAACTATAAATGTAATAAAAGAAACTGTGGGGGGTATATGGAAATAAGTGGGAAAGTGATGGACTTAAATGTAAGTTAGAGAGACTTAACTATGAAACAAGTTCCCGCTTCCGTCGTTGGTCTTAGATTCACACAAAACCCAAATATTCCAACGACAACCCACGGAGCGGTTTCATTCCCCAAATTGCTTCCATAATTATTGTTCGATTGAATCTCTTCTAAACCCTCATAAATTCTTCGTTTTGGGTCCGCCATTTCAATCTTATTTTAACCTAGATCTGTAAGTTGTCGCCTCTTCTACCCTCGTTTTCTTATAATGAGATTGTTGTGTTACAATTTCGTTTAAGGTGATGAATGGGATCATTTTTGTTGATCTTTCTGATTGGTTTTGGTCGTGTTTCCGATGGATTGGACATGCTCAATTTGTGGAATTTTGTTGGGTGAGTTTGATCAATTTCTTATGCTCGAGGGTTTTTGTTTTGAAGAATTATTTCTTAAACGATAAGTATCAGCAACTTTGATGTTGCAAAAGCATCAAAAGTTAAGATGAATTTAATCTGCATTTTTGTATCAGAAATTGAAAGATTTTGCAAAATCAAACTCAGCCCCTGCAAGCTTTACCATAGTGATCATGGCTTCTTTCATCTTTTTTGTGGTTTCTTGAAGAATAGTCAGTGCTTTGATGAGCACCATACTTCATAAATTCATGTTTTTATTTCACTATTTAATATTTGATATCTTGATATGTGCTCTGTAACTTCATTGTTAGTAGACGGATTATCAGGAATGTGATAATTACTTGTTCCAGTGACTTTACTGATTGTGATAGGAGTAATTGATTTTAGATTGAAGGGCATGAAGCCATGAATGGATGCGGTTGCAAGGCTTAAGTTGGTATTTGTGTAGAGAAGTTAGTGAAGTAGATCGATTGTTCTTACCTTAAAACTTATTTTTGTAACTTTTAGATTACATTGACTGATGGGCTAAGATTTATAGTCTTGTTATATCTTTCCAAATTCCGGGGTGCTTTCATGAAGGGAAAATCCGTTGAGGTATATGACTAGATAACCAGCAATGGTCTATTATCCAGGTAATGCTTTGTTTTGTCAAAAAATAGTATTAATTGTTATGGGCCTCTTAGTTTCACTGATTACTTACCACCAGCTCTGGACCTAATAATCTAAGGGGATGTTTGGTTGGTTTTCCATTAAGCCCTGTGTGGATATAATTGTATGTATGGCTGTATAGATTGAGAAGGTTTTTATTTGGGAGGGTTTTTTCATAGATAGAAGGAGCGTATTTTTTAAGTCGGAGGGGCAGGTTTGGAAGAAACTTGGCTTTCTGCATATAGCTTACCCCCTAGAAGCTTACTGAATGAGCCATTTTCTATATCATTAAGCCACTACCAAACAGTTATTTATAGCTGACCGAATAATCTGTGGGTCCAATTAAGCTCAGTAAGCTACTCACAGATAGGCCCTACGTTGGTTAAAAAAATAAAATGAATGTTGCTCATATGGGCGCAAGATTATATTGCCATTCTAAACTAGAATATAAAACCATACATGATTGTGTTGTACCTGATTTTTTAATGATACTAATTGGCTTAATCTCTGCAAAATTTTGAAATGTTCTTGGTTCTTGTTTTTCAACAGTTTTCTTCAGAGTTAACAACTGTCATAGTAGCAGCCGAGTGGTCATGCATTACTTGGGTGCAATCTTTTAGATGGTTTGGTTCTAAACTTTCTTGATATTATGGAGAAGGAAGACTCAACTGTGGAAGAACTAGTGGGTTCTCCGGCTCCTGAGAATGTGAAGGATGTAGATGCACCCGAGGAGGAAGATCATAGCATAGATACTCTTACTAAGAACGAGTTATCAGATGACGAAATGGTGGGAACTCCTACTGATACCAACGAAGAACGCCTGGAAAAGGCGCCTGAAATTCATGAAGAAGATAAGGATGTAGAATCTTCAACTGTGAAACATTTGTTAAACAATGAACTTGAGGAAATTACAGCTGATGGCCAGGAGCTGGCATCTGGCATTCATAGAGTAGACCAGGAAATAGAAACTTCTAGTAAGAGCCATTTGGTGGATGGTGAAATTGAGGATACTGCAACTGATATGGAGGTAAGAGGTCAAGAAGAGGATGATTCTACTCATAGTAGCACATCCTCTTCTCCGTTCCAGCTCTCAAATTCTAAAAACTCGATCGATACTCTCACTGGTGAACCAGATATTCAGAAGGAAGGCCAGGAGAAGGAAAATTCTATAACTGATACTATACTTGGTTCTACTGCAACTGATATTGAGATAAGGAGTCAGGAAGAGGATAATTTTACTGATAACGATACATCCTCTTCTCCAATTCAGCTCTCAAATTCTGAGAATTCAGTCGATGCTCACACTGTTGAATCGGATATTCAGAAGGAAGACCAGGAAAAACATAATTCCATAAATAAACCTACGGTTGATTCTACTTCTGAAGAGGGTGAGATATTGGATAACATGAAGGATAAGGAGGATAGGGAACCCTCCTCTGAAATTATCACAGTCAACCATCACTCTGGTGAAAAGATGGAAATGGAGATGCGTCATGTTCAGGAAGAATCTGAAGATGAAGCTTCTATGCACATAAAACCGAAGGATGTTAGCCATGCCACTTCTGTAGAGTATGGTGAAAAGATAGGTGATGACTTGAATGATCGGCAGGGGATCGCTGAAAATTCCTCCTCTGAACAAACAGGGGATATCAAAACGGACGTCAAGGATAATACTTCTAGCAAGGAGGAAGAAAGCTCTATACGTAATGGAATTCGGGAACCTGAGGTGGAAGCTAACAGTGCTGCTTGGCCTGGAAAGGCTGCAGCTCTCACAAATTTTGTAAAATTGAAGAGCTTATTGGCAGTCTCCAACGTTTTCCGTCGTCTTTCTAGAAGAGTTGATGGACATAATGATCCTGATGATAAAGACAAGGATATTAACAGTGAAAACAAGAATGATAAGGAGGTAAATTCAAGTGAAGGAGAAAGCCAACTAGTCAGTCAGACAACACTAGAGAAACGTGGATGGAGAGCTCTAAGCTTTATTGGAATCTCACTTGAAAAGGATCAGGGAAACAAAGCTGAGTTAAAGGAGGTGGCCCTTGAGTCACTCGACTCAATAGCAATGAAAGGAAGAGTTGTATTATATACGAGGTTATGGTGCCAAGATTGCAAAGAGGCAAGGCTATTTTTACGTAAGAGAAGGCTCAGGTATTCTGAAATAAACATAGATGTATACCCTAGTAGAAAACTGGAGCTAGAAAAGATCACTGGCTCTTCAGATGTCCCCGCAGTGTTTTTCAATCAGGTCCTTATTGGAGGGTTGAATGAGCTAAAGGCTTTGGATGAGTCTGGTCAGCTTAAGGAGAAAATACAATATGTAACTACCGAAGGGCCATCACCTAAAGCTCCTCTACCACCATTTTCAGGCGAAGATGATGTGTCTAGTAGCGGTGTTGTAGATGAACTAGCAGTTATAGTCAGGAATATGAAGGAATCGATTGTTGTTAAGGATCGATTTTATAAATTTCGCAGAATAACCAATTGCTTTCTGGGTTCAGAAGCTGTAGATTTCTTAACAGAAGATCAATACTTGGAACGAGAAGAGGTACAATACCTTTTCTTTTTCTATCTTGCACATTTAATTTGCATGGCTTGAAATAATTATTTCTATTAGATTCCTACAACTTATCTCCTCCACCTTCATTTCCATGCTTATTGGATGCTCTTTTTGTTGACAAACCTAAAGCAGGTTTTGCTTTTTCTTTGATTCTGTACAAATTCATTTTACCTCTACCAATTTTTCTTGGAACACATAGAAGCAGCATCTTTGTGGATTTGCCACAAACTTCTTATTTTTATTAGTCGGCTTAAATTTAAGCGTCTCAGCTCTCCACTTGTGGTTAAAATAAGCTGCTGTCAACACAGGTTATAAAAGAAATTCATAATCTTTTGCTAGTGATCTTCACACCTGGCTAGAAATGATGTTAGCATCAATTGAACTGGCACTTCCATAGGGCACTATTTATTGGGTTTTTAAACTTAGTACATATGGTAAATATTTTGGATGTTATTGGTGTTTTCTGGTTTCTTTGTACTCCTTCCTACTTCAAATGCTTAAGTTGTAATTTTATTATGATAAATGAAACCAATTTGCAAAATATATAGGGAGTTTATGATTTACACCAAATACGAGGTGAAGTCCATCTACTTAAGAAGGGGTAGGAAACTTTCTTTTAAAGTTCCATTGTGAAGGTTTAAACATAGGGTGTGATGCATTATGTATCTAATGCAGGCACAGGTGACTTAAGTACGCCCTGTTTGTGGGACTTCTGTACTACTATTGTTTTCTTTTGAGAAAAAAGAAAAGCATTTTCAACTTTAGCTTTAATTCTTGCTAGGCTTCTATGCAAAGTGTTTACATATATATATATATATATATATAGGTAGGTAGGTTGACAGGTAGCTACAGAAGAGTTTTTGGTATGATCTATAACAGCCTGTTGCTTTGCCGATTGTATGAGAAGTTTATGTTTGTTAACAAATGAATCTTGATTTAAGTTACGGACAAGAAATGTCTACAACTTTCTTACAAGATCTCATCGACAAGTTAGTATTGTATTTTTGGTAGTTGAAATGAATGTCGAATCCATGAAATATTATGTGTGGATTCAAGATGTTTGTAATGCTTAGTTAGCAAGTGTGTCCTTAGTTTTACATTTTTTTAACTTGGTGGTAATTATGTTATATGCCATAGTTTGTCATAATTGCGAAGTGCTCTAATTTTTTTTCTTTAATTCCAAATAGGCTATTGAATTCGCCCGCAAACTTTCTAAGGAACTTTTCTTTCGGCATGTTCTTGAGTGAGTACTCGTATGTTTCTTTGAGCTCACATTCCCTTCGCCCCTTTCTATCCTTTTACTTTTGTTTCTGACGGGAAGTTGATATTTCTTTTACAACATTTTGTGCCTAAACATAGTGAGAATACTTTTGAAGATGGGAATCACCTTTACCGATTTTTGGATCAAGATCCTGTAATAAGTCAATGTCAAAACATTCCAAGGGGTATTATTCAACTGAAGCGACAGCCTCTTGTACAACTTTCTTATAGGCTAAAATGTTTGCTATATGCCATTATTGATGCCTATACGTCAGAGGATGGAAAGCGTGTTGATTATAGAACCATCCATGGGAGTGAGGAGTTTGCAAGGTTGGTTAATGTTCTTTAAGCTTTAACAGTTTTAATTTGACCACATGGATGATTATATATTGACTTGAAGCATCCATTATAGGTATTTAAGGATTGCAGAAGAACTTCAAAGAGTTGACCTCAATAGAATGGTCAAGGAGGAAAGACTTGCCTTCTTTATCAATCTATACAATCTGATGGCTATTCATGCAATACTCGTGTGGGGTCATCCCGAAGGAGCATTGGATAGAAGAAGATTGCTTAATGACTTCAAATATGTTATTGGTGGGTGTGCATATTCGCTTTCAGACATTCATAATGGCATTTTAAGATCCAACCAGAGGCCACCATATACTCTCATCAGGCCATTTGGTATAACAGATAAGCGCTTTAAGGTGACACATTCAACTGCTATTTCAGATGATTGAATTACTTCTATAGTTGAATTATGGATGCATGCAAGTTTGTAACTGCAACTTTGTTAGTTTTGCCTTATATTACAACCGAGTGAAATTTTTTGATTCTGTGTTGGCACAAAGAATTCATTGAGTTGTTTATATAGATATATAAATGTTTCAGGTGTCTCTTCCCTATCCTGAGCCTCTTATCCACTTTGCATTGGTTTCTGGAAATCGATCTGCACCTGCTCTTCGATGCTATTCTTCTAAAAACATTGACGTGGAGTTGTCGGAGGCTGCTCGTGACTTCTTACAAAGTGGGGCATTCATACTGCATTTGGACTCCATGACCGTATCAGTTACTAAAATACTCAAATGGTAAGTAATGAAAGAAATGTTTATTAGTTATCTCTTTTGTACTTTTGCATTGGGAACCGTTTATCTATATTCACGCTCACACTTTCGGATGTATAGAATAAGCTGGTCCAAGATTGGGTTAAGTATCTTCTAACTAGAAATGTCTGCTAATTGATACCGTGAGCTGTGACATGATGAAGTGTAAAACTTTTTTTAGTATATAATGTTTATATACGGCAAATGAACTCATGCACCCTCCTCACCTATGGTAGAGACTACGCTCTACTAGCAAGGCAGATACCACTAAGCCAAAGGCCCTTTTGTTGAAGCGTGAAACTTTCATGGCATAAGTCATAACGAAGGTGTCTTGCCATATTTTATTTTATACTCCCTCCATCCAATGTGTCTATTTTTCTTTCTTTTTTCCTGTTGCTTGCTATTTACTAGTCTTGGTACTTATTTCATTTTCGCTCACACTTTTGCATGCACCGGAGGTTTTCACAGATTTAGCTGGGGTAGAAGTTTGGTCTGCATACATCACACCCCTAGGCCCCAGACCCTACTTTCGTGTGGGGTATACTGGGTTGGGTTGGGTTTACTCCCTGCATCCCCCAAAAAAGCAATGCTTCTGTATTTGTTAAGGTTTCAATCAAAATTTACCAATTAACCTTAGCAATAACTTCAAGGTATTTTAGGTATTTGATCATTAGTTAAAAGAGACTTATTATGTTTTAGCCAAATGTTGAAACAGAGAGAGTGGTTTGTTCGTTGAGCCATTTTCTGTTCTCTTCATTTGTGAATCAGTTCATACTTGCAAGATACTAAACTATGTTAACACCTGTAAAACCACAAATGGCGCTATATTCATATTTAGCAAGAAATTTATAGAGCCAATTATATGTTTCTCAACTTTATACCATGAATTACTGTATTCATATCTGAATTAATACTTCAAATGTTCGGATCCCATTTGATTCTTGGAGTTATTTAGAATTTAAGCTACATCATTTGTTTTCATTTTTTTTCTTACATGAAGAGGACTTATGTTTGTTACTTATCAGGTATAGTGTTGATTTTGGGAAGAATGAAGTGGAGGTACTGAAACATGCTTCAAATTACTTGGAAGTTGAAAAGACACGAACTCTATTGGAATTGCTTGATAGCACTCAATTAAAAGTGGTATATCAGCCTTATGATTGGAGATTGAACAGCTAACATCAGCTGTAGCAACTCAGATTGGAATTGTAAACAAATACAGGTCAAGAAAATCCATCCTTCAAGTTCCTTAATTCAGCCCTCCAATGGAATTGCAGGTACTTGTCATGAGAGCTCTGTTGTAAATCTTGTTCATATATACCCCCCACCCAATTGTGAAAATTTTAGGGGTAGGGAAGGGAGGTGTTTTCAGAAGAGGGTCTATGCCTGTATGCAATTTTTTTCCACTCATGCCATGGACTTTGGTAAAATGACTTGATTACAGTTTGCCTCTTTTGTCTATGGGTTATTTAGGAGAATAAGCTTCTGACAGATTTTTGTAATGACCTTTTGAGCTGCCTGGCAGAAGAATGTCTATTCCAAACACAAGAATGCCTCAAAATCTGTCAGAAAGTCATGCATTTAAAAAATCAGTCAGAAGATTATTTCTACTAAATAACCCCTTGTTTATCCTTAGTGAACAACTTGGACGCAACCCCTCTGTCTTTTGAGACGGAGGTAAAGATCTTGTACATCTTACCTCCAAACCCTACGTGTCAGGTGGGATATACTGCATTTGTTAGGTTTGTTTTAGTTTAGAAGAAAACATCGCAACATGTCCACTTTTCACAAATTTTTTTCTTATTTGTGCAACTTGAGTTAGGGTTCGATTCCGATGAGAATGAAAGTTATGGTGAGAAGGGTAAGAAGGGATCTCCACCCTTTGATTAATCCTAATTGAAGAGAAACAATAGATCAAGTGTAATGAGATACACCGGATCAACTCCCTTCTAAAGTGCGATTCATGGGTTGGTTTGAGATTAAAAGCGATAAGGGTCCAAATCTCTTCTTACACTTCTCACATTAACTCTTATTCTCACACGAATTCTTCGTCGCTTAAGTTAATTCTCCTAATCTACTCTTTGGTCTGGTTAAGAGATTGGATTATATTAAAATTAGAGTTTATTATTTATATATCATGTCCATGGATCCATTTTCCCCCGAAGGCTTCTGTCGGTTAGTTCTTGGGATGCATCACTCCCCATTTTCAACTGTAAATCTTCTTGCCCTTATGTCTTGAGGCTGGTTGACCCCATGCTCTATGTAAAGTTGTATCATTTGGGATAATCTTGTATTCTTATTTCAATATGTTTTCAGTACAATTGTATCTTTAGAGTAGTCAGAATCATCGAATGTAAAGCAACAACATCCCAATGGTTTGTATCTGGAATTTAATATTGTATTCTTGATATTGAAAGAAGCTTAAGGGTTATTTACCAACAGAAATTGGTAACTGCTAACCGAGGAAGAGTGCACTCTGGGTCAACACTAATCATTGACCGAGTAAGAGTCAAGAGTCCCTCTCTTAGCTTGCTAGGTCAATATATCGGTCAACATCATGGACCGGTAAGAGGGATTTGGTAAACAACATCTTTGATAGGGTAAGCTCTTTTTACCTGTAGTAAGCAACCCCTTAGTTTTGTTTCTTCTCAACTACATGCTTTATCAATTGTCTTTTGTTGGTTGACTGTTATGTTTACCTTGTAATGATAATGCTTGTGATAGATCGTGAAGTTTTGTTACTAGCAATGTACTCTTGTTATTCCAAGACTGCAATTTGTCTCAAATTGAATGAGTAGGTGTTTACAATTTGTGGAAGGATGCCATTATTTATTTCATTCAGGATATTAAACATTGTTGTATGAAAGTCTCCATATGTTTTTAAGATATGTAGAAATATCACATGTTCTTGAACTTGGTTATGTACTTGGTACGTAAAGGGTTGGGCATTCTATCAGAATAACTGAGGCCAGTAGGCACCACCACCTGACCTCGTGATGTGTGATTTATCTCCTTCATGATGGTTGTGGTATCAGTACAGTGAGGATGCTCCAAAAGATGACGTCATACTCTTTTTGTAAAATTTGGTTATTTCATTAGTGTAGGTTGCATTTCTTAATACCATTTGTTACTTTTCTGTATTGATATGGTTTTAGTTGAGAAAGTTGTCATTAAGGTACAGTAAATTTGTTTTTCCAAATTTTTAATAATATTCATTTTGGACAAGGCATGATACCGTTACAACTTACGAGATACACTTGCAAAACAACGTTCTCAACTAATTTATAAACACTGAATGGATTATGGGTGCATTTACAGAACATTGAACAAGCATGAGATTATAGTTCAATAGGCATAAGGTTAAACATCATAAAAACATAGTTTGACAAAAACTTTGAACCTAATATGCAAGGCAAGTCAAGAATCATGTCAAAAAACTACATAAAAGTTTGGGTCAATTGCAACTTGCAAGTAGGAACGATAAAAGATTGTTGATGTTTGATTTCAACAACAGAAACCTAATCCCTATTTGAGAAATAATGAAGTCACTTAAGTTTTACTGTTTTATTTTAGCCCATTTTTGAATTGAACACTCTAACATCTCGTTCTAGATTAATCTTAACAGACAATTAGAATGAAAATAAACTTGACAAAAGCATAAACACAAACTTAATCAATGTAACTCCCTAAAATAACGATAAGCAAAAAACAAGGACTTGTTATGCAATTCTTTGAAAGTCTGGATAAGGGGTTGAATGTTATTTGATCGAACAAGTTGATAAAGACCTTCAAATGAATGTGGTTGATGAAGAAACCACTGAAAGAAGTGGCAACAATTGAGAGAAAATTGTAATTTGCTCAATCTCATACTGTTAATCAAGTTTGTGAAAGAATTGAGAAATACTGAGTATTAGAGCAAAAGGAGGCAATAAAAGCAGTCAAGAACAAACAAGTACTTCATCAAGTCCAAGTAAATCCTCTGTACAAAACTCGTGTTTGATCGTGCACTAGGTAGCATGTGATGGACTAAAAGCATTTCGTTTAAGATTTGGAGAGTAGTGGGAGGCCTTAATGTCGTGAATTGACTATAAAATGGCCATTTAAGTGGTTGTGGTATGAGCATTGCATAAATGCATGAATTAAGGCTTGAAATGTCTAGACGTTGTTTAAGGATGACAAACATTGGATATTTAAGTTATATGTCTAATATGTAAGAACAACATTTTAAGTGCACAATATTAGTGATTTTAGTGAATCATCTGATCATTTTATGTTATTGGATTCACAATAAAATGAAGGGGCTCGTAGTTAAGCTATAATATGTGTTAGAACGTGTGGAGTGTACATTTGTATAAGCTAGCTAGAACCTAGAGTTCACTGGATGTTGCATATGGCAGGGGTAAGGGGGTTGCACTTGCGCCCCCTTACGGGGTTATAGGGGCAATGCCTTTGCTCATCTAATTCGGTAACTGACATCTTTTAAAGGTACGTTCATTATCGTGTTTAATGTACAGGACATTACAACTTCTCTAGGTTTATAAGCTCTCTATTTCTGGCTCAATCGAGGGTGTGAATTGAGATCATCCTTGAGCGAACTTCATGATACCCATGCATATAAGGTCAAAATGTTACTTAAGGAACGCGAACTCTTACCTAATATTGGCTTTCGTCCAAAGTTCTATAGTGATTTCTCACGACCCAAAATCAATTTTGCAACACATGTCACACATGCTATCTCTATGCATTTTAGTCGAGACCAATCGTGAATTCCCTTCTAAACTCTCAAATATAATGGCTAACATAAGCTTACACTTGCCAATAGAATCATAAAGAAACGAAGTAGGCAAGCTGAGTCAAGGTGAGTTCCCCTTGAACTCGCCTTCAATGAATTGAGGACAAAAAGCCACTTCTTAAGTCATACATGAAGTCGCTTAGACCCTGTTGGGTGCGACGTTGTTGAGATTCAGTATAAGATGATAAGTCAGCATTAACGTTCCATTGCTTGCGAAGCTAGTAAATGTATTACAATTTGCATAGGCGGTATATATAGTTTATTTGTTTACAATGTACGTGTTTTAAAGTAATATTCAGTTATAAAAAACACGGTAAGACATTCTCGATGATTAATCATTTTATAACAATTTTGTTTTTGAAGGTTTGATCTTTTTCACCTTAAATAAGAAAACAAGATACAAGACTCCAAACACCCCTGAAATTAGTTGCATTCCATTGATTAAATTCCAAGAGTGTCTGATCTCATCCATTGGGTTAGGAGAAGAGACAAAAGAAACAAGAGAACATGGAGGATTTTGTGCCGAAGAAGTCTAGGGTTTAATAATCTTGAAACATCAATTTGGCGGCTCAATGACATAATCAATCCTTCCCATTTTGCAAAATTCATCATTTATCTCTTTTGGGTTCTCTTCTAGGGTTTCAAAATTGATGCTTATACAAGTTACAAGATCAAAACCGCATCAGTTTCTAGCTTCTACCTTTCGCAGTCATACGGGAAAACTCCAATTTACGACTACAACTATGAAGGAAATCAAAACAAAGAAGTCGTCAAGTGTATCATCCCCACTCAACCCAGATGCGAAATGTTCTTCGAGTGTTCAATCAACCCCAGAAATCGAAAAGAAGTATGTTCATCGTGTGTATGATGCAATTGCTCCTCATTTCAGTGCAACCCGTTTTGCGAAATGGCCAAAAGTTTCGGCTTTTTTGAACAATCTGCCATCTGGGTCTGTAATTTTAGATGCAGGATGTGGTAATGGCAAGTATTTAGGTCTGAATCCTGATTGTGTTTTCATTGGTTGTGATATTAGTGCACCCCTTATTCAGATCTGTAATGATAGAGGCCATGAGGTTTTAGTAGCAGATGCTGTGAATCTTCCCTATCGAACCGGGTATGGAGACGCTGCGATTTCGATTGCTGTTTTGCATCATCTTAGTACTGAGCATAGGAGGAAGAAAGCCATTGATGAGTTGGTTAGAATTGTGAAAAAAGGTGGGCATATCTTGATTACTGTTTGGGCTGTTGAGCAAGAAGATGCATCTTTACTTAATAAATGGACCCCACTAACCGGAAAGTATTTAGAAGAATGGATTGGACCCGGTAGTCCACGTGTGCGTAGCTCTTCTTCGGTTACGTTAGAAAGCATTCCTGAAACTGAGGTGAGTGTTTCAGAGGAAGAAGTCAAAGATTCGAGTAATGTGAGTGAAGGCAAAGAGGATTGCTTTGTGGGTATCGAAAATGGAGATAAAACGGACCAGCAACAGGAGTACTTTGTACCTTGGCATTTGCCTTACCATCGTGCTGAAGTGAGTGGAGCTTCGGCTGGTGCACTTGAGAATGGTCTTGCAAGAAAAGATGATAATAAGGGCGCGATAGTGTATGACAGGTATTACCATGTGTTTGGTCAAGGGGAACTTGAAAGGTAATGTTTTTATTCGTATATTACTTATAAAGACTGTTTTTTTATGCATATCTCATTGCCGTGTGTAGTATAAGTTGATGAATTAGCGTCGTGTTTTCAGCTTGCTTTGTTTAATTAGCCATGAACACAGACAATTATCGGATTTGGATGCAAAATTCATGCTTTTGTGGCAATGAGTTGTGTTTGCAAGTGTGCAACAGTTTGAGGATTTCATTGATTACAAAAGAGTTGTTGGCATAAAGATTTCATTTGTAGAAAATAATGAAACCGTTTGAAAGATGTGAATGTGTAGGGGATTTGTTAGGAATGAAACCTTGGCTGGAAATAAGTAATGCAACAAAGAATTCAAATGATGTAATGGTTATAGCATTTTAGGACGTGAATAGCTGATAAATGAAGAATTTGATAATCAAGATTTCACAATACTTTCTCGTTCTATAGATTCTAACGAAAAAGAATTGGAGCTTAAATGCCAAAACGTATAACTCATGCTTGGATGGTAATTGGTATTGAGAAGTCGCATTCTCGTTCATATTTGGTACCATTCTTCCTTTCCCCACCTCCCCGTTTCCTAACCTTTTATGGTATCATGTTTAATCTTGAGAAAAGAAATAGAAAGAGATAGAATAGCAATGACATCTGTTATGTCAATGACACCAAAAGGATATTAAATGAATGGAATTGGGATAAAACAGTACCCGAAGGTTCACAAGCGGTTGAGTATTTATTCCGGATATGAATAGCTTAATAGTTAATAGCAAAGATTCTAAGAGTTTATTGAATTCCTATTTCTATGACCGGAACAGGGGAGGATAAGTAGAATTTGTGCTTGTGGAAATTATCACCTAAAGTGGTAGGCCCTTGAGTGGATCCCGCGTTAGGTCCAAGACGTTGGTCTCCTCTTCCCCATTACTTAGCAAAAGTGAGATATGAAAATAATGGGAAAAATCGGATTCAGTTGTCAGTAAGAAATATAGTTATAATTGGATTAGGTAGATAATTTTTCAGTCAGGCGTCTATTATTGAATTCATCCGACCCGACAACACCCGTTAACAATGTGGATATCATTTGAAAATGAGTAGTTTAGATGAAATCGAACTTTCGATTCAGTTAGATATGGTAGATTCAAATGGGATACAAAAAGAGTTGACTGCCGAGCCGTATGAATCCTGGGTTGCAAAGAATTCTTTTGTTGGGGTGAACCTATAAAAGTTTGGGTAGAACCGGATCTAAGCGTTATGATTGTTTCTCCTTCTGTACTATTTCTTTTTAAAACTAATTTGCTCGTGGACAATCATATATAGGGCATGGTATTTTAGCTCTATGTAACATGACCATATACAATAATACATACCAATTTAAGAAACCTACTTTCGACTGGGATTTACTGTGTCTGTTTGGTTTGGTTTAAGATAGATGAACTTACTAGCATATACTTCCTTTTCCCCATGAAAATGGCAACAATTGTGATGGTATTGATATTGATCCACGAGGTGATACCTCCGTGTTTATCGTCACTAAATATGATCCAAATTTTTGTCACAAAATCGTTTTCTCAAAACCTCTCTACACGGAAACCGCCTCTCTAGTCTCTACCCTTTGGGGTAGAGGAAAGGCTGCATACATCCTACCTCTCCCAGACCTTACTTTGTGCATGATTTATATGGTGTGGTGTTTATCAAACAATATCAGACCTATTTAAATATAAATATTTTGCATGTTAGAAATGTTCTAGATTTGACCCTATGTCCACGATGCACAAGAAACTGAATCGATAGTCTTTGGACCAGATTGGTTAGGATCAGTTATTCGTAGTTGCTATGCTAGCACCATCTTTTAGGACTGGCCCTTCTGGTCAAGTATTGGGGACCAGATGGCTTGAACCAATCTTTAGATGGTCCTTAACTTAAGATGAACCCTTTTATCCTTTTATGATTCTGGGCAAGTGTTTTGACCAGCTGTGTTGAACCAATCTTTGGATGGTCCTTAGTCATATATGAACCCTTTTACGATTCTAAGCAAGTCTTTGGGCCAGATATTTGAACCAATCTTTGGATGGTCCATAACCAAAGATGAACCCTTTAGAGATTCTGGGCATGTGTTGGAGACCAGCCGGGTTGAACCAATCTTTGGATGGTCCTTAACTGTAGATGAGATTTGATACTAGACCAGGACCGCTGTGTTCTGTGCCGGTCTGGTGATCTGGTCCAGCCATTGGTCCGTTTACTTTTTGTTCACCTCTATCCATGGTATGCACTAACAACAGCAAGTTGGCGTCTTCTAATGTTTCTTATTTTGTTTTATGTATTTTATTGACAACCCAACTCTTTTCTGCTTTTTGCCAGGTTGGTTTCTGGCATGAAGAATGCGGTTATTGTGGATCAATTTTTCGACAAGTCTAATTGGTGTGTCGTTCTCGAGAAAACTTCATGTTAATTAAATCACCCGTTTTGATTGAAGACCGAACCTTAACAATGGAAGGTGCTAACGGTTAGCAAAACATTAGAAAGTGATCAAAAGAAAAACCATTTGAAAACTGCTTCTTTTGAGCACTTGGCATTTGATGTCTTCGATTTCCCGATTTGTACACATATTGTACCATGTCAACTCCTGGTTTTCGGGTGTAGAGGTTTTGTAATTCTGCTAGTCGAAAATTTTGTTTTCGTAACTTGATATCTCAAATGATGTTATATTTCAATGTTCAATTTTCATTTTGGGTATATGGAACACATTAGATTGCTGGGCTTTGAGTAGAGAAGGGAGGTTTCAACCAGAGATACACGAAAAGCCCAAGCTCGAACCTTGGTTTAGGTCCGACCTGAAAAAGCTAGGGCCTAGTGAGCCTCAAACTTGCTTTGGCGGAAATTTGGTGGCAGCTGCGCTCCAAAATCTTGCCTTGGAAAAGCACGATTAAGTCCTTTTTCAACCACAAAGCCTAGGGCATGTGTGTGAAAACGCTTGACACTTTTTCTCTCACTAAAAAAGGGCTTGGAAGGTCTTGTCCTTGTGCATTTGATCGGACCCTTTTTAACCCCGAAGCCCATATCAGCCCGACCTGGCCCTAAAATAGTTTGGGTCTTTTTTCCAACTAAAAACAGGTTTAAAAGGCCCAAATTTTGTGCTTCTCTAGTTTCAATATATATTGAGGAGAAACTAATACGTCTCTTTCAATATAGACTCGATTGGTACAAATTGTCCCGTGTTGAGAGGGGCTACATTTGCGCATATTATACCTCAGTGTTGTTTTATCAGAGTAGTAGACATTTGTTTTGATATCGTGAAAATTCTTAAAACCTGTTAGATTACTCTTAAGAAAATGATATTTTATAATATATTAAAAAGAAGAGAAAAATTACATTTTTCGTCCTTGTGGTTTGTTGAAAATTTCTATTCTTGTCCTTGTGCTTTTGAAATTATGATTTTTCGTCCCCATGGTTTATAATTCAATATTATTTTTGTTCTTATGATTTAAGCTTTATTGATTTTTTTCATCATCGTGGTTTATAATTTATTTATATTTTATTCCTTCATTCTTAAAAGAAATAGTTAGTATTAGGGACTAAAATAAAAATGAAGAGCAAACAATAGGGATGAAAACCATATTTTTAAAATCACAAAAACGAAATCTGTAATTTCTAACAAACCACATGGATGATAAATGTACTTTACTATTAAAAAGTTTTATCAAAAATTAAAATTTAGCAAATAAAAATATTCCAAGACTAATGGGTCGTTTACCAAATACTTACTTGATAAGTATTCATTGGTTAAATTTAATACTATTATTTATTTACGAGGTAAGATTATAGTCCACCAAAACGATATTGTATGCAACAATTTATCCGGTAAGCGTTTACTATAGTAAAAGTCGTCATTCTCACTTACTGGATAAGACTCTTGGTTTTTGTTTCGGTTTTATCAGATAAGATTCTTAGTCCTTGCTACATCCGGTAAAGTAATATTACTTGATAAGCAAATGCTTACTCGAATAAACGTTTGATAAACAACCCTTAGATATTAATTAGTGGATAGTGTTTGGTACAACTTTTAAGCACTACAACTTGTCGTAGCATGTGCTTAAAAATGGTGATTATGTTATTAGTATAATTAATTAATCATAAAATCATTTTAAGATATATTTTTGGAATCAAATTTTGAAAAAGATGATAATTTCAATTTCAATTTCAATTATGTTTTTATTCTAAATCTTTTAACATTAATTATATTAATAAAATATTATTTTTTGACATTAAATATTAAAAAGATATCTAAATTTAAAGAATTTAACAGTTATTTTTCATTTTAGTTTTTGTAAGAAGTTTCAAAAATAATGTTGTTATTTTCATAATTGTATTAATTTTGTTATAAAATGTATATTTTGCAAGTTGCAAAACTGATATTTTCGAAATCTTGACCATTTTAAGGCAATTGACAAAAAAAAAAAATGAATAAGTGATGGTGATTTTAAAAATTTTGACTGAAATAGGTTATTTTGAATTTTTTTAGTTCACTTTATAGCCATATTTTCAACTTATTGACAGATTTAACTGAAAATTACATAAATGACATTATACAACTTATGTAATCCACTTTTCAAACAAAAACAATGATGCAAAATGGACATCACACTAGGCATGAGAATTGGTCCCGACCCGTAGGAAAACCTGGTCCACCGTCTCGGTCAAGACAGGAATTTCTCGTTAAATAGGGTCTCAAGGATGGGGACGGGATCCCTATGTGGCTCAAACTAGGGATGGGGATTGAGGTCCCCGTCCCATTCCCCCCTATTACCATGCCTACATCACATAAGTTGCGTAAGTGCTACTTACATAATGCGCACGTAGACCACCCATAGTGAAGATAGACGATCTTCTAAATATTTAACTATTTTGGACAATTTTTAAAAATAAAATTGTTGATAAAAAATAAAATCAAATCAAGATTAAAAACTTTTAAACAACTTTTTTTTGTGAATTTTAAGGTAATTAAAAATAAAATAAAATTTGTAAGTATGTGGGGATTACATAATTAAAGGAGTTAAGGTTTGGCGCGATGTCATCTTTTCAGCTTTCCAAAAAGATAGAAAAATTGAGCTCTTTTTCACTCACTGGCTGCCTGCTGTTTCGCCGTTTCTAGTTTCATTTCAATGGCGAACTGATTAAACAAATCCTAAACCCAGTTGTAGTTGCTGATTTTTCACGCCATTGTTAACACAATTTCTGCAAGATTCCCTTAATTTTTGCTTCAATTGCAAGTTCCCCCTTTTCAGATCTTGCATTTTTAGGTAAATACAGTAACTCTTATCCATTCAATCTTTGTCTTGTTTTCTGTAAGTAAACTTCGAATGCGATGTTTAAGCTTTGATAAACCAGTTTAACCTTTGTTCTAATGTTCTCCATTAATTTCCCCAAGAGGGTTTTGCTTCAATTTTCATCAATTTCACGTAATTGTTCGAAAACATTGATTTCCTTATGTTGTTATATTTAGCGAACTTAATTGATTTGAAGTGGGGTTGCCATTGTTTGTTTGAACTTCGACATTTACTGAGTTAGACATTCTTTCATAGTTTTTTCTACTTTGAGAGCACATTCTTCATTTCTGTCTTTTTGGGTGTTTTATAGATTCTCTCTTTCCAATTTATTTTGTTTAATGTGTAGTTCCTGTTCACAGTTAGGGTTTCAAAGCAGAGTGGACTTCATTCCTAAAACAGAAGAAGGTAAACATATACTTTGTCTCAAGTTCAGTTGATGGAATTGTTATTGAATTATATTGCAACCAAAGATGTGGGTATAATGACTCACAACATTATGTAGATGTATGTATGTATAATTGTATATTAAATTTGGGAAATTCTTCTGTTTTGTCTTTGTTGAGAAGAGTTCTATATGCAATTGATTGTTTTGATTCTACTCCTGCAACTGCAATGTGATATTTGAATGTACCTTTTTGCAATGGTGCATGAAGCATATTAAGTTCTTGTTCTTTGATGATTAGGGGGAACATATGAGCATCATGCATGATTACCCTACCTTTATTATTTTTAATTTTTTCAAAAAAAGATTAGTCATTGTTTCTTCTCCAGTCATTTCCTTTTTGGAAAAATTCCAAGCTAATACCTAATTGCATATTTTCATGTTTACAAGTTATTGATATTATTTGATTTTTATCCACAAGATTCCCTTGTTTTCTGATTATTCGCAAGCCGGAGGTGGGGTCTTCATAAAAACAACCTCTTTACTCATTTGGGTGGAGGAACGAGCGCTTACATCTTACCCTCCCCAGACCCTACTTTGGGTGATATTTACTCGGTTTGCTTTGTTTGGTCTGGTTTAGCGGGGCACTTTCTTCTAATTTCTTCAAAATCTATCTTGGATGCCTATTTTTTTTTAATATAGCGATGGAAAGCAATATTTTTTTAATATTCACACATACCTTTGGTCTTTGGCAATGCAATTTTACATTGTCGAGTCAAATAAGGTCAATGTTTATGTCCGGTCGAGTTGTTATTAGCCAGGTAAAACCTTTTCTCCACTCCTGAAACAAGATTATAGCTAATAATATAATATATTTTTTCCTAATCATCTCATTCATGTTGATCATGCTGTTCTCTGTATTGAGAGATGTTTGTGGTCTCAATATTGTCATGTTGGATATATTTCCAGCCTTTCAAAATTTAAGCTAAGACTTTCTCTCTTTCACACACTTTTCACAAGCTGGGGGTCTTCACGGAAACAACCGCTCTACTCTTTGAGGTGGAGGTCAGGTCAGGCATCTTACCCTCCCGAATCCCCACCTTTGGATGGGATATACAAGGCTCGTTTGGTTTGGTTTATAGTTTTCCCGTCTCATCCATTTTCCGTTTGATTTTCTTCTCATAATAGGAGCTAACTTATTCCAATGAATGAACTCTCACTGAATTCATGAATTATGTAGTGAGATGTAGGCAAATTGGTAAACCATGTAAACATGGCATCTTTCATTACTCGTTCCCTGCAAACATTATCATTTGTGATCCCAACATATTATTCCCCAATGACCCCACTTATTCGTTTTCGCTATATGTGCTTACAAGTTACAGCATATGACAAAATTGTTATTACGGGTCACTTTTAGTTGATGCAAGGAAATTTGAGGTGGGACCCATAGATGGAAAATGGAGGTAAATGGTGCAAAGGAATAGGTCTTGTTTTCTGTTATTAGAATTAATTTAACCTTTTCTTGCATGCGAGGTTGAACATTGAAGCTCGATATAACCAATAGATCATTTGATTTACCGGTTTTAGCTTTTAGATAAGTTGGTAACTTAACATATAACTTGATTTTTATCCGTTAGAATCAATGATCACAAACATACAAATATAAAGGTACATTCTCAGGAAAAGAAAAGTCAAACACGGGTGTTGCTAGAATCTTGTCAATAGATTCATGAGTTCAATTGTAGTGCTGATATGCTAAGAAACACATCCTTGTCACTAGAAGAAAAAGTGTTCTTCAGTTTGACTTGGGCTCTATGCAACAGTTCTCAGCCTATTTGGCACTGTGATTGATGAAATTCTGTCGAATTGGAAATGTGTTTGCAACTCTCATGTTACCGTTTGTTCTTTTTTTCAGAAATAAATATGTGTTTGATTAGAGATGAATATCATGCTAATATTGAGTTGTGTTGAATTAAAAGCGAAACTGTTTCTGCAATCTTCTTGTTGATGATTTCGGGTGTTGTTTTGGCAGTAGTGTTGATTAAATAACAGTGGGAGCCCAAGAATTTGCACTTCATGGTTGCGCAGTGATGTTGAGGACTACCAAATGGAAGCTTGAGAAACCTAAAGTAAAAGTTGTTTTTCGGCTGCAATTTCATGCCACTAATGTATGCCCCTCTTTTATCTCTTTTGATTACCCCCAATGTTTCCAATCAATAACATACATATATATAGGGTCAGGTTCAAGGGAAAACCGCAAAAAATTGAAAAACTAAAGAACACCTTAGTAACCATTCATCTACATGGTATGCATATGTGCATACAAGTAATTTATATGTAATTTTTCAACATGTGCAGTGCATAGAAACCATGAAACATTTTGAATTACTTGTATGCACATGTGCATACCGTACAAATGTTATTAGGGTGTTCCTCAATTTTTCATTTTTTGGGGATTTTCCCCCTGAACCTCACTACACACACACACAAGTACGTGAATGAAAACTATATGTTTTCAATCAAGAAAATAACATGTTTCTAAAGATCCCAGACAAAGAGAGCTTCATTTTGTAGTAGTGCTTATTAGTCGTTTTAGATGTAATTGAAGGCTTGAATTATTAATATGAAATTCCATGAATTTTATGTTCTTTCTCTATAATTATGCGTAAGGAAGACAATTAGCAATTATCTTCAATTTGAGTGCTGGCATGTTTGTAATAAATTATTCAATATCTCCATTGAAGTTGCAACGACTTATCCACTCCCCCTTCTTTCTCTTGAAATGGTTGCAATGTATTAGATTCCGCAGAGTGGATGGGAAAAGTTATATATTTCTTTCATACCTACCGAGTCTGGAAAGATCATTGCAAAGACTAGCAAAGCAAATGTGAGAAATGGGACATGCAAATGGCCAGATCCTATCTATGAAACTACAAGACTTCTAGTGGATTCTAGAAACAAACGATACGATGATAACCTCTATAAACTCGTTGTGGGGATGGTAAGTTTCAATAGTCATTTCCAAATATAACTGTTTTAAAAAAAATGTACTCTCATTTTCCATGTCATGGTGGAGCATTTGACTTGAAATATATCTTTAAAAAATGTTTGATTATCTAGTATTTTGTGGAACGTCAGAAGTCTTCATTTATTAGATACTTCTGTTATTGAGTTTTTGCTAACTATTCTTTTGGCTTAAATATGGAGCTCAGGGTACTTCACGGTCTAGCATCCTTGGTGAGGCTATCATCAACCTTGCTGATTATGCGGATGCATCAAACCCTTCTGTTATCGCTTTACCTCTTCATGGATCTGATAATGGAACCATTTTGCATGTGAGGAACTCTTAACACTTATCTGTGTATATATATGGATCTGATAATGGAACCATTTTGCATGTGAGGAACTCTTAACACTTATCTGTGTATATATATGGATCTGATAATGGAACCATTTTGCATGTGAGGAACTCTTAATACTTATATATAATATATATATATATATATATAGAGAGAGAGAGAGAGAGTCGGGTTCATTCGATTAGTAACCAAATAAGAGAATAAGAAAACGGTCGAATCACATGTGATTTTGCACGTGATTTGGCCATTTTCGTGTTCTTTTATTCGGTTACTGTTTTCGTTTGAACCTCCCTGTATGTGTGTATATATATATATATATATATATATATGAACTTCTAATAGCTCCCTTATATATGGGACAACATGTAATAATTACAAAGGTATTTATAACATTCTTTTGGTCCAAAAAGTTCTTCTATCTCGTCATTATTGAGGGATGGCTTTGTTATTTAATTAACAGTCAAAACACTTCCACTGAACCATGTGCTCAGTTTTAAATAAAAATTCAAAAAAGTTAGACAAAAGCAGATTCAATTACATGCACACTTTTTTTTTGCAAATATCTTTCTTCCAATTCTACCCTTACTTTTACTTCTTTCATCAGGATGATTGACTTAATCTTTTGGGTGCCAGGTTACAGTTCAGTTACTGACGGCAAAAACTGGATTCAGGTACGACGTCTTCAAATATTGCTTTCTCCCCATGAAAATTGCTACATCTCGGTTTCTAGAAAGTTTTCAAGTTAAATTACATAAAATTGCGAGTAAATCAGTACTAATGATTTGGGTCCAGAAACTTTCCTTTATTCTTTTCTTTGTTGAAAGGTATTTTAGGTATTTGACGAGTAGTCAAACATTTTATTTGAACCATACCAAATGAGACACTGCATTTTTATGGAATTCAGGGAGTAGATTGGTTATATTGACATTGAAGATAACTTTTTTAACACTGGTTGCAGAGAATTTGAACAGCAGTTTGATAAGGGGTTGCAGAACAGCAGCATTCTAAACCGAGAAGTGGAACCTAGTATTGCAACGTCATCATCTTCCGAGTCGCAGATCTCTGATGATCACGGAAATAAGGTTTGGTTATCTTTTAGGCTATCTAACGAACATGTAAAAGATTTATGAATAGTGACAACAAGATCGTGTGGACCAAATCGTTTCAGTCGGTTATTTGTAATGATGGTAATGAGAAAACGGGTAACTTTGGCTTGAAAACTTGTCAAAAAGGAAAATATTGCTACATCTGAAAGTGGAAAATTTTGCAACTGCAAGAGATCCGGATAGATTATATTTTAATGTTAATAATCTCTATAGAATAGGGCAAAATACATCAAAATGTAACGAAGTTTGTCTTATTTTTTATTAGTGTAACAAAGAATTATGTTACAAGATCCGAAGGTTTGAATTTTCTTTTTCATAATCATTTTGACCGGTAACCTGCTGATCTTGTAACATTTGATGACCTGGATGTCCACATTTTGGCATTACAATTTTGTTGTTAATACTCTTTACATCCCATGAGAATTCCACTTTTTTTCCTTTTTCTTTTTTGTCACAAGCTCAGAGTAATCATTTGCCTTAATCATTGTTAAAAATTACGTTGATATTTCACAAGATTTCTCTATTCTGTCATTGATTAAATGGTATTTTAGACATTTAATTACTAGTTAAACACGTTTATTAAGCTATGTGCACATTGCATTTTCATGGGACAGATGAAGTAGAAAAGTCCCTTTTCTATGTGGTCACGAAATTGTTAATTGCTTATAAGATAACCACTTGTCTTTTTGCTCTGCTTTAAATAGGTTAATACAAAAACCCATTTTGGATCAGAATCTAAAGAGCTTATTTCAGCTGTGAGAGAAATAGGCACACATGAAGAATCTTTAGATTCATCGGTCAGATGTGATGGCTCATCCAACACCTCAGAAACTTATTATGCTGACAAGATTGATCCATCAAGCATTCATGAACCTAATAGCCTTAGGAGCATGGCATCTGGGGATTTAAACGAGCCACCCCATGGTCAAGGCCTGCCAATAGAAAAAGCAGAAAGGTCTGATCTTCAAGAGTGGAGTTCAGATTATTCGATGAATAATGATTTGGCAATTGCTCATGAAGAGAATCATAGACTCAGAGGAATCTTGGAAATGGCTGAGTCTTCCATTTTTGAGCTTAAAATGGAACTAAGTGCTTTGCATAGTTATGCTAATGAGATGGGTATAGAAACACAAAAGATTGCACAGCATTTAACGGCTGAGATTTCTTCGGGCCAAAAACTAGGAAGAGATATTATGGTGCTCAGATCCGAGTGTTCGAAGTTCAATGATGAACTAGAACAGTTGAAAGAAATCAAATCTAGCTCAGAATTTATAGGGAGGACGCAGGATCGAGCTGACTGCCATCAACTCAAATGTGTAAATGGGCTTTTACTTGTGGAGGATCGAATAAGGGAGCTCCAAGGGAAAATTCATATCGGTTTCCACGAGTCCGATTTGAGCTTCATACACTCGGATTTGGAGGTTCTCCTCAGTATTGTTCAGGATCTTGAAAAGGGAACCTTTGAAGCATTGCCCCTGCAACATGAGATTCAAGAATTTCGATCTACAAGAGCTTTTGATTTGGTAGAAGGTAAAATTTTGATACTTTCAAGCCAGCTAGATGAAGCAAAAGCCGAGAGGGAAAATCTTGTTAGAAAGATGGATGAAATGGAGTGTTACTATGAAGCACTTGTGCAAGAGCTCGAGGAAAACCAGAAACAGATTCTAGGACAGTTTCAAAGCCTTAGATACGAGCATTCGACATGTGCCTACACTATTTCGACCTGCAAAGCGGAGACTGAGTCGTTGCGCCATGATATGAATGATCAAGTTATAAGATTTACCAAAGAAAGGCATGCTTTGGGTTGTGTTAATGAGGAGCTCGAGAAAAGGGTTATGACTGCAGAATCACTTGTGCAAGAACTTCAAGAAAATCAGGAACAGATTCTTGGAGAGTTTCAGAGCCTTAGAAACGAGCACTCGACATGTGCCGACACTATTAAGACTTGCAAAGCCGAGACTGAATCAGTACGACATGATATAAACGATCGAATCTCGAAATTTGCCAAAGAAAGACATGATTTGTATTGTGTCAACGAGGAGCTTGAGAAAAGGGTTACAACTGCAGAAGCACTTGTGCAAGAACTTCAAGAAAACCAGGAACAGATTTTAGGAGAGTTTCAGAGCTTGAAAAACGAGCATTTGACATGTGCTGAGACTATTTCAACCTGCAAAGCCGAGAATGAATTGATACGCCATGATATGAACGACCAGATCTTAGAATTCGCCAAAGAAAGACATACTTTGAGTTGTGTCAATGAGGAGCTCGAGAAAAGGGTTGCAACGGCAGAATCAGCACTGAAAAGGGCTCGTTTGAATTACTCAATTGCAGTGACTCAATTGCAAAAAGATCTCGACACGCTATCCTTCCAGGTTTTGTCTATGTTTGAAACCAATCAGACCCTCATTAAAGATACTTTTTCAGAATCTTCGAAACCATTCTCTCAAAGGTACCCAAATATGATCGAAAACTTTCAGAAATCTGATGATACTTTAGTCCTTTGTGAAAAACAGCTTCTGGGCAGTGAGGTCCACTCGAATGATGAACTTTGTGAAATTCCTTGTACAAACTTATACTTGGATGTGTACTCTGGGACTCTAGAGGAAACATTATTTGAAGCAAGTAAAAAGGCCAACGAAATGAAGGAGCAAATAAAACAATATGCACAGAAGTTAGAACTTTCTAACCAATCGAGGGATATTTTATTTGGGAGGCTGCAGACGGCTGATGAGCAGATTGCTCAGATTAATGATGCGCAACTGCAAAATCAGAAATTGGAAGCGAGTTTGGAAAGTGTTTTGAGGGAAAACTTTCTTCTAATGGAGAAGATTACTGAATGTGAAGCACTCCTAATGGATTACAGAGTCTATAAGAGTAAATACGAGGTTGTTTCGGCTGAAAAACTTGAGCTGGAAAATCTCTTGGAAGTACAAGGTTTGGATAGCGGAAATCTTCGAAAAGACTTGTCGATTACGAAGGAAGAACTAGAAACTCTAAAAGCTCGATTTCTTGAGTTGGAAAAGTCAAAGGAAAGTATGCAGAAACTTCTTGATTTTCTACAAGAGAAGTTCGGGAATCTGTTGGCATCTTGTGACAAACAATTGGGTGAGCACTTTTCATTTAATTATTCTTCGTTTCAAGATACGGGCATCCGAGATATCACTTGTGTGATCACGAAATTGGAAGAGCTCCATAACTACACCGGTGAAAAGATTGAAGATCTGAAGAAAGAAAGAGACATTGCGAGATCAGAAATTGATGGTATGAGAACGAAATTTACGCACGATATGCGTAATATGGCCGCCAAAGTAGACTCGTCGAATACCATTGTAGAGAAGCTTCAATTGCAACTCGAATCTGTTGCTAAGAAATTTAAAAATAGCTTGGAAATGAAGGAAAGTTACATGCAGCATACCGATGGGCTTTTGACGTACCTTTCTTCTTTAGAACTTGAGCTGCATAAGCTTTCTTCTAAAGACGGAAACTTTGTTCTAGAAATCTTGGGCTCAGATTCTATGGCTGATGAATTCGAAAGTTGCAAGTCGCCCATTTGTGAGCTCAATCAAGAAAAACAAGATTTCTTGATGCCAATAGAGAACAAAGAGGAAACTACCATACGTGAAGAATTGGAAATGGAGAACATACGAGTGGTACTCAAAGCTATGTTAGATGAGCATTATGATCAATATGTCGTGCTACGGGAAAAATGTAGTGAACTTACGGACGAGCTCTCTGAACAGGTTTTAAAAACCGAAGAATTCAAGAACCTGGTTAAGCTCAAAGACTCTGAAAAACGAGAGCCTGAAGGGCCATCAGAATCTTTACGGATAGCGTTCATGAAAGAACAGTGTGAAACCACGGTGCAAGAACTGAAGCAAGAACTTTCTGTTTCGAAAAGGCACGGTGAGGAAATATTGTTGAAATTACAAGATGTTCTTGATGAAACTGAGAGTAGGAAGAAGTCTGAAGCTTCTTACTTGAAAAAGATCGAAGAATTGTCGTTCAAGAATGTGGGATTGGAAGCCGAGTTACAGTCCATACAGGCTGAACTGGAATGCGCTTTCTTAAACCTTGAATGTTGCAAAGAAGAAAAAGAAAAAATTGTTGCTTCGATTCAAGAATGTGAGGAGGAAAAATTGAAAATTGCATTTGAACTTTCTTTGTTTCAAGAGCATCTTTCCCGCAAAGAAGAGAAGGGTGTGGGCATGGATAGTTCAGCGAACGGAAATGCAAGCACAGCACAAATCTTTGAGGTAAAGCGAATCACTTCTTATAATGATAATAACTATGATCTAAATGGTATTTATAAAATGATTATGAATCTAGTATATACATGTTTGACATTTAAAGTACAAAGATGACAAATGGAAGAGACAGTAAGGAATATTTCTGTGGAAATTTTATATTTGGTGGCCATTATATTTGTTATTTAGGTTGTGCATTTTTGTTTGAAATTTCAAGAGCTAGGAGAAGTGGTAGATGGGTATGCGATAAAGCTTTCCCACTTTAACCTCATTATATTATTGACAAAACATTTGCAATTATGTGCTCATTGTTATTAAGCTTTATACTTGAGGACAAGTTTGTATACATTCTACCCCAGACCCTACTCCCGAGTGGGACTTAGATGTGTTTGTTTTCTTTTAGCGAGGGATTAGCATTTCCATCCATTGTACTTGACACTTCGGATATGTTTGAAAAATTAGTTGATAAGCTAAGCTAGTTGTTAGCTGATATATTAGTCATGAGGGAGGTTCAGGAGAAAACCCCCAAAAAAATGAAAAACTGAGGCATAACTTGGTAACCATTCATCTGGATGGTATGCACATGTGCATACAAGTAATTGAAGTTGTTTTTTTGGTTTTTATGCATGTCTGCATGTTATGCACATGTGCATACCAGACAAATTGCTTACAAATTACTTGTATGCACATGTGCATACCGTCCAAATGAATGGTTACCAGAGTGTTCCTCAGTTTTTCATTTTTTTGTGGTTTTCTCCTAACCTGATCCTATTAGTCATATTTAGTAAATACTAGTTGATAATCTAGATGACAATGTAAAATAACCTAAAAGGACGTGCTGAAAAGTTAATTGGAAAATCATAAGGGGTATAATTGGAAGAAAAAACCTGATGCTTATTGAAATTCTAGTTGAAGTAGCTTTTCGAGAAGCTAGCTTATATTATTATAGCTAACCAAAGAGGGTTTTTTCAATAAGCTCAAAAAATAAGGTAGCTTATGGTTGCTAAACATGGCCGTTGTTTCCAAACAACCATCATACTTGCAAACATTGGAGATGGCAGAAAATAGCAAAAAGACTGAAAATAGTTGAAAGTAACCCCTAATTGATAACTGAAGTCTCATGTTAGCTGTTTCTCTATCAACTGTAGCGTTCTTTTGGCGTTTTGCAACTATATTTGTTATGAAACGAACTACCAACTATAATCATTCTCTTCTTTTATATAATTCATCATTCATTAAAGAGCACGATAGTCTCAGATTCACCTAAGTTTTACTTTTGCTGTTTGCTAGTTGGAAGGGATGAAAACCGAAAATTCCATTCTTTCGATGACGAATTCTGGCTCAAGTTTTCAAGATTTACGGAGAAAACTTTTGCAGCTCCACAAGGTAATTTGTGCTATGATTTTTGGTATGCATATTGCTATATTCCTATAAGTTATGGATCATAGAAATTTTATTCTAATCATTAGTTTCTTACTTAAGGCTAATGAAGAGCTTGGAGGGATGTACCCAAATTTTAAGGATTTCTCGGAAGATGGAAACGCGTTAGAGAGGGTGCTTGCTTTGGAAATCGAGCTTGCTGAAGCATTGATGACGAAGAAGAATTCGAGCATTCAATTCCAAAGGTAGTCATAATCTTTGTTAAGTGTGTATATGAGGTCATCCTGAAACTCGGCTTCTGAAAAAAGTTGATAGGCTCGGGTGACTCTGGTCCGAGCTTGAAAAACTAACGTCTTGGCTCAGGTTGCAAGAGCTTGGTTTCTATTGGCTCTCACACCATATAGCTTTAACGGGATTGAGTCATCTTGGCTTGTAAAGCGGCTGAGTCCAAGCCATGCATTCTTAGGCTCAGCTTGGGCTCACCTACACTTGGGTTTGCCATGTTTTCTGAGTGCCAACTCATGAGCTAATTCATATTTATCACTATATTAGAGTTGATTATTTGCAGGCTTGGTCGCTGGTCAAGCCTAACCTAGTTTTTGTCCAACTCGTCTAATATAGCAAACCCAAACCCCTTTTTGCAGGCTTGATAACTTGCCCATACCCACCGTATAAACAGTCCGGGGTTGCCCACGGGCTAACGGGCCTAAAAAATCTTCATTTAAAAAAACGAAACTTATAAAAAATCATAAGTTATGTAAAATCATTCAAAATACGTACTTCTCTTTCCAATTTAAAATAATACGTAAAAACATAACAATGTATATAGCTTAAAGATGTTCGGATATATAAACAAACCTCTCTGGAAAAAAGATTCATCACTGTGAATCATACTGTCCATGAATGGCTGTCCAAACTTGCTTATTCTAACGGGCCGGGCAGGCCGGGTCTAGTGAATCATACTGTCCGTGAACAGCACGGTGAATTGGGAGTCAGCTGTAAAAAAGTCGAACATCATACGAGGAAACTAACATGATAATCTTGTCTATGTTTTCAGCTCTTTCCTTAAACAACACGGTGACGAAGAAGCAATCTTTAAAAGCTTCAGAGACATCAATGAAGTGATCAAAGACACATTGGAAATCAAGAGCAAGTATGCAAATATGGACACCGAACTGAAGGAAATGCACGAACGTTACTCTCAGTTAAGCCTGCAGTTTGCCGAGGTTGAAGGGGAAAGACAGAAACTTCTGATGACCCTCAAGAATTCAAGATCACCCAGAAATCTTGTTCGTTCCTCACCGGAACCCTAAACGATTCCCATTTGTAGAGTCAAAATTAGTCGAACCATATTGTTAAAAGGAAGGGTCAGCAGAATCTGTGAATAGGTTTGGGGGTTAACTGCAGCAGCTTGAATCTTGTTGTGAAGAGTTGAAGACTCAAAAGAGGCCAAGATGCAAGTGTGCTTAGGTGGTGTAAATGGTCTTAGTTACAAAGGGTATGCAAATGTTTTAGGTCTTTTGAGGTTATTTTTCCCCTTTTGGCTTTACTCTTCATGTTGTGATTCATATTTATAGTAAAGTTGATTCTTTTATTGGTGTTCATGTTCCCATTTTTGTTCCAACTGTAGTGCTGGTTAGAGATGGTCAGAAACCTGTCTCGGGCTAGGCTGGGTCCAAATCCGTCCTCGTTTGAGATTTTTCTTTTGTAACCGATTCTATGATCCCTAGTCCTGACTAGTGATGGCCAAACAGGCCCGGGCATGCCGGAGGACCAGGACCGGGATCGGGACCGGCCCGATCCGGGACCAGTAAGGACCGGTTATAGGACCAAAATCTGGGAAAGGTTATGGACTTGGGGTGTTTCATGGGACTGGGGCCGGTTAGGGGACCGGTTATGGACTGGCCCGGGCCGGTCCCATTTTTAAAAAATGTAGCTATTTTTTTTAAATGTAGCCGTTAATTTTTCAAAAAAAAAAAAGCTGTTTTTTGGGCTTTTTTTTTGTATTTTTTGCTTTCTATACACTATATATAAGTGTATTGGCTGAGGGATTTACATACCAAGTTCTCGATTCGCAAAAAACGCAAAAAAATGTTCACAATTATCGTTTCTCACTATATTTCGTAAGACAATGTAATTTTAATTATAATAAATCGCATTTTTAAAGTGTATTTGAGTGACCTAATTACAAATTTTATAATGTATTAAAAATATATATCATTAAAAAAATAAAAAAATTATTTTTTAATGACCGAGACTGGTTGGGACCAGGACCGGAACCGACGGCCCATAACCAGCTACAATAAAGCTTGACCGGACTCAACTTTTTCAAACGAGACCGGTTATGGCTGATTATGAGAAATCTTGGGACCGGTTATGACCACAAACGCATGACCTGTTCTCCATGTACAAAACCCAATTCCTAGAACCTGTCCCAAGTCGGGCCCAAATCAGTCCTCATTTTTTTTTCTTTCCAAAAATCAATTATATAAAAAAGAGTAAATTATGGTTTGCTCAAATTTTGGATTTTATTCCTAAAACAAACTACCTACATTAATGGTCTCTGACTTCTCAAATCTCTCCATTTAACAACGTTAGTCAACGATCGTTAGGAAGGACTAATCGGTCTTTAAACAAATTATAGGGACCAAAAGTATAACCTGCTCTAAAATTATGTGATTCACGTTTTCTTTTTAATTTTTTATTAAATTCTTTTTATATATCCAAATTTATATATCCAAATTCTCAAATTTATAAAAACAAAGGAAATCAAGATAAATTCATATATTTTTTGGGTGGAGAATTGAAATATACGAATAAAATATTGAAAATTAAGGGGCCGTTTACTAAACGCTTACCCGGTGAGTACTTATCGGGTAATTTTCCTCACCGGATGAACATGGTAAGGGCTTAAAATCTTACCCGGTAAGAGCGATAATAAGGATGGAGAGTTTTATCCGGTAAGTGAGGGTGACGACTTTTACCCAAGTAAGCGTTTACCAGGTAAATTGTTGTATATGATACGTTTTGATTTATTACAATCTTACCCAATAAAATAAATTATAATGTTGACTCGTAATGTTAAGCACTTACCGGGTAAGCATTTAGGTAAACAGACCATAAGTTCAATTAACGTGAAATTATTAATATATAGTGTAACTACAAATATTCAAAATAATAACAAAATAAAAATTATAAATTAAGATTAAAAAAACATCGATTATTCAAACAATTATAAAAAATTATCACTACAACAAATTTATGTTTATATGACGCCAACTAATAAGCGTCATAACAAACCATTTTATAAGACTTGATTTATAGTTATAAAAAATAAACTTAATTTTGTTGTAGTGATAGTTTCATTTGAAAATCAGTGTTTTTTAATCTTAATTTATATATTTTTTATTTTGTTGTTATTTTAATTATTCGTAGTTTGACAATATATTAATAATCTCATGCTAACCGAACTTAATTTTCAATGTTTTACTCACATATTTCAATTCTCAACCCAAAAGACATGTGAATTTATCTTGATTTCCTTTGTTTTTTAAACTTGAGATTTTTTCACGCTAAACTTTTTTGTGAATATAATAGTTTTAAATAAATATAAAGATTTTTATTTAATTTGTACTTTATTTTAAGAAAACTGATTTATGATTGGATATATAAAAAAAATTAAATTTATTTAGAAAAACTTGAGTCACATAAATTCTAAACCAGATTACTTTTTTGGTCCCTATAGTTTGTTCAAAGACCGATTAGTGTATCACGTCTAAAGAATATGATGATAGAGATAATTATAGATATATCAGAGTTAGATTAGAACTGGAATATTTCGTAGTTATCTACTTGTAACTCATCCTTATATAAAGAGCTTATGATTAATGAAAATTACAGATTCATTCTCTCTATTTACTGTTGTTATATTTGTTTCTCGTTTAACACATTATCAGCACGTAAACTCAGTATTTATTGTTTGTCGTTGCTAAACGCTTGTTCTATCCATTTCCCGACACTGTTGAATGGTTTGCTTCCCACCACTTCTATTCAAGTAAGTATATGTATTTCTTCGTCTTTATATGTGAGTATGATCATGTTAGAAGTTAAACATAGTTCATGATTTGATCTAATGTTTTTTTATTATTGATATCAATCGAACTGAAAAGAAACTAAAACCAAATCGAATTCATAATTATTTGATTTTTGATTAAAATCAAGTGGATATTGACGTAAAAAAGAATCAAAAATGAGTATTTGAATTTATATCGATCTCAATATGATTTTGATATAATTATCTAAGTTAATGAATTATATAGTTTTGTTCTAATTTTTTTTACGGTGTAAAATAAAGTTAAAGAATCTTGAGATAATCATAACTCTATATGCTGATATTATGAACATAATAGACACTCTTGATAAAATAAGAGAAACCATAATTTACTTGAAATCTGAATTTAAGATAAAAGATCTTGGGAAAACTTGTTTCTGTCTAGCTATTGGAGCTTAGACACCAAGTTTGTAGAAGGAAGATCTATTTCGTCTAAAGGATGATGACGAAGAGGTGTTTGGAGCTAGATAACCCTATCTAAGTACAATAGGCGCATTATTGTACTTAGCACAATACACTTGACGATATATGTATCTCTCAATGAACTTATTAACTAGATTTAGCTCATCGATAACGCAACGTTATTGAAATGATATCAAATTAATCTTTTGGAACCATTATGTGGGATTATACTTTCTCTACAGAGAGAAAAATGGCATTGATAATGGAACTTCAATACCTACTTTGATAATGAAAGGAAAAAATACTAGCCCTTGTTGAAAAACACCAAACAATTTCTATGTATGTATGCTGATATGAGGTATCTATCTGATTCATACAAAGGTTGTTCTCAGATTGGATAAGGAATTATCATAAGGAACATGTTGATTGCTTGGAAATAAACCAAACAAACCTCTTTAAACTATTCCAAGAATATTACTCTATATGAGACTGCTTAATATTGTACATGGTTGAGGACTATCAATGTACATGTTAGAGGAGCTACTGTTTTGAGTTCATCCTATACTCTTCCTACATTTATGGAAATGATGCATAATATATCAAAGAATTGAAAGTAAACTACATCAAGGGTGATAACACAAAATATATTTTGCTTAAGTTTTTATACAATTAGCAGTAGTAGACAAAAGGGGGAGTCTACTATATATGTAATATTGGTATGTTGTACTCTTTACTTCACCCAAGGTTATATTTTTCCCATTGGGTTTTTGTTCCTTGGTGTAAGGTTTTAGTGATGTAATAGTTTATATATCATCCTCTTTTCCTAACTCTCATGACTAATGTACGAATCTAAGAGAATATTCGACTAAAGGAAAAGTCTATGTATTGCAAAGAAGTTGGTGCGTTGTACTATTTCCTTCGTACTATTTTTATTTTTTCCGCTGGTTTTTTATTTTGGCGTAAGGTTTTAACGAGACGACAATTGTGCACCATCACTCCTTGACTTGGCACAAGGGGGAATGTTGTAGGATTAGTGTCATCGTCTAAAGGACTGGTATATATCGTAGTTATCTACTTGTAACTCATCCCTATATAATGTGCTTATGATTAATGATAATTACATATTCATTCTCTCTATTTGTTGTTGTTATATTTGTTTTTCCTTTAAACAAAAAGAAGTTGAAAAACTTAAAAAAAGAAAAAGGTGAAAATCTTATAGAAATATTGGAAAACTTGATATATAATTTATATCAACTTTTTTTTAAAAAAAAGTTTGGCTTACGTATAACCGGTCCCATAAACAGTCTTGGGCCGGGCTTTGAATTTTCATAAAAAACATAACCGGTCCCGACCGGTCCAGGGCCAGGACGGACCAATTTTGACCATCTCTAGTGGTGGGCATTCTGAGAATATGTGTAATCTCATTAAATTACTCTTCAAAACAGCTTTTAAGGAGATAAGAGAGGCGTCGATATATATTGAGTATAAATGGTCCAAGTCCAACTATGTGAGACTCCACTAGACCCCTTTTAAAGGAGGCTAGACGGACACAGAGCGTCTAGAGAAGGCTAGACGGACATAGATCATCCCAGATTGTCAAACCCCTAAAATACAAAAACTAATGTCTTGACAGTTAGTACTTAAGCACAAAAGATATTACATTTACCCAAGATAACAACAATGAATTGAAAAATATTCAAACAAAAATAAAAATAAGTTGGAAATTGAATTCATCAATCACTAACAACGGTTTTGGAACTTTCAGACTTTAGTATTGTCTTCATATTAGGTTTCTTCACGGAAAGCAATTTCAAATTTGTATACAAAACGACGAATGAAAATGTGTGCATTCTGTAGAAACAATAATTAAGTACATATAGTATCAATATAAGTTTCAATGAACTAATGAATTAACAACACTAATTCATATTATTCAAAGCAGAAAATTACAATCTCTCTATCGCCTTAGTCGACTCTAATGTGAATGATTAGAATGAACTAATGAATTAACAACACTAATTCTAAGCCCATTAAATAGGTGACATTTACATTGAAAGCCCAATATCCTTAAGTCTAATTACAAATATTACAATAGAATACAAAGTCAAAGGGCTTTATAAAACTTTCATAAACTTAGGGCTATTTTAGTCCTGACAATCTCCCCTCAAAGGTTTTTTGAAGTAAGCATCTATTGAAAACCCAACACGTTGAGCGGATAACAATCATTAAAGCATCTCTTAAAAGCCCAGCATCTCTTCATCGCCTGGTGTGTTCGGCGATGAAGATCCTTATCGCTCAACATGTTGAGCGGATAACAATCATTAAAGCCCAGACTTGGACGAAGAACAAGCTTTATCGGGAGGCAAAAAATTCATCCAAGTCAAAACATATATCGCTCAACACAGTTTTTAAAACCAAGTCACCAACAAACACATTCTGGCTGATGAACACTCTTACATCGCTCAATCTAGCTTCAAATCTTGAATGGGCAATGAAAACCCCTTATCGCTCATCAAAAACATTCATTGAGTGATGAAGTCAAATGACTCAAATCTGACAGTATCGAAGTATAGAGTTTAACTAAAATCATCAAATTAATCAAAAATCATCAAATAAACTTCAATCGATGATTAAAATAAGTTTGAACCCACTAAAAAGTAATTCCTTTGAAAGGAATTTGATTAAAACATTGAAATCAATGATGAATTATGATCTCTTAAGCACAAAACGTCGAACATGAAGTCTAAGTTCATGAGCACTGTTCCATTGCTAAAAAACAGAAAAAATAACTTGAATTTGTTGCAGATGGAATGATCGTACCGATAGAAATTAATCGATTCTAATATGATACCAATTATAAGTCCCAATATCAAACAACGATTCAAGACTAAAACAGTAAATAGAAAGATATTGAAGATGAAAATGATGAAACCGGCCAGATTCATATTATGCAAAGCAGAAAATTACAATCTCTCTATAACCTCTTTCATGTGAATGATTAGAATGAACTAATGAATTAACAACATTAATTCTAAGCCCATGTCACCTATTTACAGGTGGCAGTGACATTTACATTGAAAGCTCAGTACCCTTAAGTCCAATTACAAATATTACAATATAATACAAAATAAAAGGACTTTATAAAACTTGCATAAACTTCACTATTTTAGTCCTAACAATTACAAATTAAAACTCTATAATAAAAAACAAATTTGACTACAAAGAGGAGCTCATGTAATTAAGATATATTTAATTTATGCCAGCCTTATCAGGTTGGGTGATATGATTCCCACTCTTTTACGACATCGTGTTGGAAAATTTAAAACCCAATTGAGTTTCGTTTCAGTTTGAATTGGGTTCATTAGGCTATTTTTCAGATTGAATCGGGTTAGAGAATTAACCCATTAGGTCTATGTTATATTAAAGCTTAATGCATTCTATGTTATACTTGCATCTCTCAGAGATCAATATGTTTTTATCCAGACAAACAATTTAACTTATACGAACTTAATAGAAAAAAAAAAAAAAAAGGGTAAACAAGATCTTACTTAAATTATCTTGAGAGACCTGTTTTGCCAAAAAGACACGTCTTTAGTTATCTTAAAAGCTTGTATATTTCAAGTCAAAGTTCCGATTAAACATCTAAAATCAAAAGGATCAAATTTCTTTTATAAGCAACCTCAAAAAAACACCCGAATTCCACTTCGTAATCCACGTAACACGAGCCTAAAGAAGCCCGATTAGTCTTCCGGTCTGGTTACAGAATCATGCATGGGCAGCTGGTCTGTTTCGGGGAGCCGTCTTGCAACTTCTCTGCGATAAAATTCACATAAAACGCTCACACATGTTATTATTCTTCCGCTTTTAAGATAAAAAATACCAGTAACCCAGCCTTTCTAAAGGTCTAAGGATTCTAATCTCACCAAATGTGAGACTCGTATTTGAGTTTCATTTTTCGTATATTAAAAAAACCAACTTTGTGCATTGACAAAGGGAAAAATGACAGTTAATTTTTCAACTATAAATACATATAGAATGAGTGCACCAACTTGTTACTTTATTTATCTTATCAACTCTTTAAATATTTGGACACTTATTTTGGGACGTTGGGAGTTTCTATTTAGTGAACATAAAGGAATGAGTTACCGTTGTTTTTGTCTGGCATAGGAGGGCGCACAACGGCAAGCATAGTGATAATACCTCCGGGAACTTCACTCACCGGAGACCTCGACTCAGCAAGCGTTTTATCATTCTCCAAAATCTTTCCGGCATTTATGAGCTTCAAATCATTTATGGTCTTAGGCCCGTTTTCTTCATCGGACAGAAATAGAAAGATCATCAAGTTAAGCAAATAGGAAGCTAATCAATCACTTAACCATGTTGTTATGACTTCAATGAGATAATACCTTTTTAAGCACAAATCATTAAGCAATTTCCTTTTTCAACACGGAAAGATTAAACTTACATACACTTCTGACGTTTGGTGACACTTGAACCCTGACCTCCATAAAGGTGTGGTTACTGGATACCGCCATGCCACCGATTTCACATGGTCCTTATTAGCTTTGATATATAATGTATCTTACATATTTTCCGCATTGTTGACGCCAAAGAGACGGAATTTGGGGAACCGTTACCGTATTTTGCGGATGCATTGGTCAACGCAAAAAAAGGGTAGTCGGTGACGTTGATCAATACAACAACTATTGAATATGACTTCATCCCTCAAGCGATAACGATGATTCGGTGTTAAACATTTGCATTCAAACAAACCAAAACATGGGAACTTTTCAAAATGATCAACAAATATGAAGTCAGTAAAACTTCCATTCTTTTTATGCCATTTTCTTCCTTTTTTTCATCATATTTTCTTGGCCCATGTTCATTGCTTCTTTCATGAATGGAACCCACCATCACATATTCATTTCTTATCACTTCAAATAAATTGCACATGGGTACAACTAGTTCATGTAGGACCTCAAGATTTTCACTAATTTAGCAGCATTTACTAGTAGCTAGTTTATGCATCATTACTTAGTCTAGTCTTATCTCTTCACTAAAAACCAATCTAACCCAAGGATCAAACCCAGATTTCCACTTGGGTTGTGGTGCACCATGGAGCTGCTAAAACCCTTGTGGCATGAAGGTTCACCTATGATTACTCCAGCCTATTTCCTAGTTGGTGGGATTAAGCTGCCACAGTTACTAACAAAGATAGAGAGAACAGGGAAAATGAAGCTAAGATTTACACACAGAAGATCCCACAAATGATCAAATCCAATTACAAGAAGATATAAACACTTAAAATTCAATAACAAATCAAATCAAAATCAATCTTAGATGCAAATTGTATAACAAAATCCCAACAAGAAGATGGAAAATGAAGAGAGTTTGGATATTGAAATAACCTTGGGGCCATTGTGAAAGCATCATCTCTTTCAAAGATCCCACAGTGGTGGTAGGACTGTATTTGCTTGGCCCAATATCACTGCCATCAGCTAACCTGAATTTGACTTGAATCAAATCTTCAGAAGCCATTAGAGAAACCCTCAAAATCTCATAAACCCACTTGAATTTTTCACAAAAAGAACTGGAAATCTCAGCTTCTTGATGAATCAAGTGAAAACCCAGATGAAATATCACAGAAATCAATGAGGGTTTTGTTGATATCAATGGATTTGAGCTTGGAAAGAGGAAGTGGTGATGGAATTAAACCAGAAGAATGGAGTTAGATTTTAGAGAGAGAGAGAGAGATTTCAGTAGATGCATAAATAGTGAGGTTTTGAAACAAAGGATGCAGAATTTTGAGAGAATAAAAAGGTTTCTTGACACAGAATGAAAGGCAAAAATGAAGAAAGGAAAAAACACTTATGGCAATGGAACCTTGTTCTTTTCTTATAAATATTATTGCAATATTTTACTCCTTTTTTTTATTAATTTAATAATAATATTCTATTATTTATTTACATTTTTAATGTGTACTATAATACTAATGAATAAACAAGCATCAACACTTTATAATGACAAGATAAATAACAACTAACTATAATTTCATAGGGTTTTTTTTAGCCGACTAATTTTAGGACGATTATATACTTTTTGGGTAGTCTGAAGTCACCGTATTTGAACATTTATGGTTACAAAGGGATTTTTATTCCTCCTTGAAATTGAACCCGGAACCTCTAGTCACTTTTGACCATTGGAGTCCAAGTTCAAACCAATAAGACATCATCCTTGTATTTGACGATTTGTATTAAAACAACCATTATACTAAACAAATATTTTATATACGTGCAAAAATTGAACATTTTTTTCCCAAGTAAAATGGTTTTTAAATATGAAATCGAGTATTATTTTCCAAATAAGAATAATTATATTCTGAAATTAAGGGGTCATTTATTAAACGCTTATTTGGTAAGTACTTACCGGATAAATTTTCTCATTGGATGAACATGCCAAGGGCCAAAAATCTTACTAGGTAAGAGTGATGAGAATGATGAAAAGTCTTACCCGGTAAGTGAAGATTACAACTGATAAATTGTTGCATTCAATATGTTTTTGATGTACTAAATCCTTACGCATCAAAATAAATTATAGTGTTGATTCTTATAGATAAACACTTACCGGGTAAGCATTTAAGTAAACAGCCCCTAAATATTTGTTTCATATAAAATAATTGTCATATTTTATTTAACACATAAATTAATTAAATATTTTATTATGAATCAAATATTTTTATGGATTATTATATGTAATAAAATACAAAACATATTTCTCAAAGGCTATAAATTTGATGGTAGGATCGGATGTAACATTTTTCCAATTTGAATGCGACAAAAGACATAACGGACAAAAGCCAGAGGTACGAAGTTAACCAATTTGTCATTTTATGGTATGGGGATAGAATTGAGTTGCAAAAAGACCTCAAACAACTATGAATTCTAGAATGTTCAAAATGCAGATTGCCGATGCAATTTGGGGCCATTAAGCAAGACCTCGAAATCGCTGATTCTGAACTCTGTATCTGTCAGATAATGTTGTTTTTGGGGTTACAAACTAAAGGTATGAAACGTCTAAATGAAACCTATTACTTATCGCTTCAAGGCAAGTTCTCTTTATCCTTAAAGCAGTTTGGCCCCACCGTTTCGATAGAACATAGAGTGCTTTGGGTTCACAGCAAATTGCTTACCAAGATACACTTAGGGGCTGTTTACCCAGATATTTATCCGGCAAGTGCTTATCTATAAGAATCAACACTATAATTTATTTTGATGCGTAAGATTTTAGTACATCAAAACGTATCGAATGCAACAATTTACCGGGTAAGAGTCGTTATCTTCACTTACCCGGTAAAACTCTTCATCATTCTTATCGCTCTTACCCGGTAAGATTCTTGACCCTTGTCATGTTCATCCGATTATGAAATTTATTTGATAAGCACTTACTAAGTAAGCATTTAGTAAACGGACCCTTAGCGATGATAATTAGGTGAACTATTGGGTTTGCAAGGATTTCTAGGAACTAAAAAGTTGTGTGTCTATAGCAACACAAGCTATAGTAATCTAGTGTAGAGAAAATATGTTTTTGATGATGTTTTATAGGGGTATATATAGGCATTTTGCGACATTCCCTTAAACTTAACAAATGACAGAATTTCGTCACTTGGGCATTACTGGCGATGATTCGAACTATCATGACTATTCAAACAGGTGCAATTCATGGGAACTGCCATTATAGGCGACGGTTGAAACCGTTGTGATTGTTCGAACAAGCACCATTCAGTTAACCGCAACGACCAACCTTTTCTTGAACCGTCACATCTGTTTGAAGGTAACTTTTCACCAACCATCACAACTATCCATGTTCCAACCATCCAATATGGGTGAAGCGTGTGTGCGAAGTGCAAAGTACGCAATCAAAGCGCCATATTGCGGCGACGCCCCATCATTTCCAATATATTAAATTGATATATAGAAAATGGTTCCACTTATATACCCACTTTTGTTTCCACTTTTTCAGGTATGTGGGACAAGATAAAATCTACCAAAACGAGTTTTTCTCTTATTCCTAAGACTTAATCTAAAATAAATAAGACTTCTATGCTATTTCGAAAATTTCCCCAACAAACCCCACCATTTCCAAAATAGACTCAAATTTGGGAGAAACTAACACAATTGGACCTAACCAGATTCTAAAGTTCTTAGGGATGTTATGCGTAAGTAAAAGTGGAGTCTTGTACCTTGAACCTTTACATAGTGAAAGTGTTCAAGTCTAACTAGGGTAAGAATGGTCGAACCAAAGTCAATGAACCATCTTCCCTTACGTGTTAGATGGAAATGCCTCACGCATATCCTTCCTGTCATTCATTCAACCACTGTAAGCCAACTCGTTGACTGGTCATGGGTCTGTATCTTGATTTCTTTGAATGCTTCAGAGCTAAGCTCTTTAGCGCATAGGAAATGACCTTACTTCCACATTCAGATAGGTGGACCTTGTCAAGAGTGTTTTCATAGCTTAAACGCTCTAAATACTTAAACTTACTTTGAAGCTCAAAGTAAGAAAAATCTTATGAAATTACGTAAAAGAAGAAAAAGCTAATAATATGTGTTACAAGTCCATTAAGAACTATATTCAACCTTTTATAGGTTTTAAAGCATTGCAGAATTTTCAGCCACATTCAAATGAGTACTTTAACTTAATCTTGAGACTTGGTGAAATACCAAGTGTCAAGACAAGGTTCAATCATGGTGACTTTTAATAGGTAGGCTTGAGTCTGATCCTTTTTGAAGTACTTTCAATCAGTTTTTTTGGTAATCCTTTTGTAAAAGGATATGCTAAGTTCGTACTTGATCGTAAGAATCAATAGTGATCACGCTATCATTTATTAACTGATTGTCTTGTCCATGTCTAAGTCAACAGTCCTTTAGCCATTTCGCTGATAGTATAGCCGCACTATCACAGTGTATATAAATTGGCAGCATTGCCTTTGGCCATAACGGTATGTTAATTAACAAGTCCTTTAGCCATTCTGCTTCTTTGCAACAAGTCTAATAACATTTCATATGTGAAACCACCGGCCTAAACTATAACGACATTTCATAATAACAATTCAATAAAAAATACATAATTATTTTCTCAAATACATAATTTGATTTCAAGAAAAAAAACCCTGGTTACTTTTATCCCATCTCAAAAATGTATCCTTACATAGACGTGAAAACCTTCGACTTTCGATCCTCCGACGAACTAGAGACGAAAACCAAAGACGGATACGAACACCGAACAAGACTTTCCTTCTTTTCCTCTCGGGTTATGAATTAATTTCTTAATATGTCATGTTAGGAGTCGTTTACCAAACACTTACCCGGTAAGTGCTTACCGGTAAAATTTAACACTATTATTTACTTACCGGGTAAGATTTTAATCCGTCAAAATGACATAGTATGCAACAATTCACCCGGTAAGCGTTTACCGTGATAAGCGTCGTCGCCTCACTTGCCGGGTAAGACTCATGGTATTTGTCTCGCTCTTACCGGATAAAATTCTTAGCCCTTACCATATTCATCCCGTGAGGCAATGTGACTTAGTAAGCGCTTACTCGGATAAGTGTTTGGTAAACGACCTTTTAGTTTATTTTATGTCATCAACTAATTTTTACTTTTAACATATTAATAATTAACAATTAAGGACTGTTTGGAAAGATCTTAACGAGCTCTATGGAGCATATGACTTATTCGTTCAGCGTTTCAATTCAAAGGAAATCCAGACTCTCCCACCACACGTTCGCACCCATACGGGTGTCTATCTACTGCGTCTTTCTTAGAGATGGAGTTGGAACGATGATGGGGTTTCGATCTTGGCTTCTCACATCTAGGTTTCGAGCTTGGCTTCTACATCTGGGATTCATCGATCCATGACCCTTGCTGCAGCACCACTGCCCTACACCACCGTCACAAACCAGAAGATCCTTTCTCCTTTTCTTCCCTGCACCACCGAGAAAACCGTAGTCACCCATTTTCTTTCCTTCTCCTTCTTTCCAAGGTAATAAATTACTTTAATTTATATACCACTTCGATATTTGCATTCGTAAGTGATAAAATGAACAGAAATATAATTGAGAGAGTTGGTGGAAATGGCAATCCATCATGTGTCATGGTGTACAGGGAGAAGAAAATGGAAGAACTTTCTAGTGTTGTTGATATTAATCTTGCTTCCTTTGATTATTGATTTTCTTTTACCATGGAGGATCTATATTATTTCTCATAATTATTGAGGCATACATGAAAGACGATTTTAATCAACATAATTTTGTTAATTTAAATACATAAAGGGGATAGACTTGCGTATTATGAATGCTAAAGTTGGTAATATGAAAACTGTAAACAAGGTGTTCGATGAAATGTTTAAAAGAAATATGATGTTTTTGAAACTCCACTGTAAGGGTAAAGTGGCCATTTACATCTTTCAGACAGTTTATCCGGTACAACAAACAAACATCAATTTAGTTTGTCGGTACAGACAACTAAATCCATACAAGCAACTTACCCCATACATTAATGTAGAAGTTGCCGCAGCAATTGACTTGAGGATTTTGACAACTAAATCCATACTGGCAACTTACCCCATACATCAATTTAGAAGTTGCCCCAGCAATTGACTTGAGGATTTTGTCAGCTGAGATAATATTTTTTGGTAAAAGTCCCTTCCATTTTGCTGGATTGGAATCACTATTTTCTGTACATATGATCCGGTGTTTTGAACAGTGTTTTGAGGTTGTAAGGAAGGGAAGAATAAATATACTTCGGGGGCTTTAGGTTTTGGGGAAACTGATGAACAAAGAAGATATGGGGGTTGTTAGAAGAGAGCGAATGGGATGTGAAATTGATGGTTGGGTGGATTTGGGGGAGTGGGCTGTACATTTTGGGTGGACTGGTTAAAGAATTGGCTTCAGCGGTGAAGATATAACCTCTTGTGGTAATGAACACGAGCAAGTGTGGAAGCTTCTGCCTTTGTAACACTAGTTGTCTACCCAAGCGATGCAGCGGGATGTGATGCCGACCATCTTTGGCTAGATTAGGTTTCAAAACCTACCCTTGATGCTTAAATCAAACGTGACATTAAAAAATCATCCCATTGTTATGTATATATTAATGTTAGTGATGTTACTAAACAAAGAAGCATACTTCACATTCAAAAAATAATCGTCTCCGAAATTTAAGGATACACATTCACTCATTTGTTTAGCATTAGTTTGAAAATTTTGTCAAATTTGTATTATGTGAAGTTGTGGTATAAGTATTTTTAACCGGTTATATTGTCTTGTTACAAAAGCAGAAGCTTCAACACTTACTCGTCTGTGTTCATTGCCACAAGAGGTTATATCTTCGCCATTGAAGCCGATTCTCAAACCAGTCCACCCAAATGTACAACCCACTTCCCCAAATCCACCCAACCGCCAATTTCACACCCCATTCGCTATCTTCTCACAACCCCCATATCTTCTTCATTCATCAGTTTCATCAAAACCTAAAGATCCCTAAGTACAGTTATTCTTCCCTTCCTTACAACCGCAAAACGTTGTTCAAAACCCGGATCAAATGTACAGAAAATAGTGATTCCAATCCAGCAAAATGGGAGAGACTTTTACCAAAAAATATTATCTCAGCTGACAAAATCCTCAGGTCGATTGCCGGGGCAACTTCTAGTCCAATTTGTCAGTTCATATCTTCACCGACTACTTTCTTGCACACCGTTGATCCAAGAATAAAATTGGTAAGCCTCGTTCTTTTACTAGAACTTATTTTCGCAAGTTCTTGAAATTGGTTCATGGGTTTTCAACTTCTGTTTGCTGTTTGGAATTGGTTTTATGAGTGGGTTTTTGCTTTATTGAAATTTGGCCGGTTACAAAGGTAATATGAGATGCAAATGAGTGGAGTCTAATGTTATTGATTGCGTTGTATGTTTTTCTACGAATTAGTTGAATATATTCATGGGCATTTAATATATTCTCTTGAACCATGTTAATGGTTTTGGTGCTTGTGTTTATGTATCCTACATTTGGGATTTATGAAAGCTAGAATGACAAGAAGAGCTCAATTTGATTCATGCTTTTAGATGTTTGTGTGTAGTGTAATTTTTGATGAGTTGTTTAAAGATTCTGAAATTATTGTAGAAAACGTTTCCAACTCACTTGAGATAGAACTTCATCTTCACATTCATTAGTGTAAGAAGATCAACTATCAAGTCACACTTGCCATCTTTTTGCTCTCTATATATAATCATATCATTCTTAGGGGCTGTTTCTATATGGATAAAGTTGTGTGATTGGATTAATCTGTCAATATAGATTGAGAAGGTTTTTGTACGGAAGGGTTTTTTCCTAGATGGAGAGAGCGTTTTTTATTGGAAAAAACTTGGCTTTCTTTATAAAGCTTCCCCTAGAAGCTTAGTGAATAAGACACTTTCTATATCATTAAGCCACTACCAAACAGTCATGTATAGCTGACCGAATAAGCTGTGAGTTACATTGAGCTCATTAAGCTGCTGAAAAAACGACCCTTAGTGTTAACGAAAAGTTGGGAAGCCCTGCTTGTTTCATGGTACTAAAGCCTTAACCTTAGGTCTCCTGTTTTTCTGTTCTTTATTGTTTGGTGTTGATCTGTCTGAATCTGTCACCATTAGCACCATATGTGTCTGATCCAATGTACATTATTGGAATTTGTTGCTATCTTGGGAATCTGCTCCTATACGTTTATACGTGACTGGTTCCGATTGATTTACAACCCTTGCCGACCTACGTGATGGTTTCTCTCTGAAACCTTTGATCTTGCCAGACCTCTTTCAGCAGTATAACTATATTTTTGTGAATTTACTGTGGGACATATATAGATGCTGTAAATTTCTTAGACTTGTCTGCAATTCTTCAAAAGTCCAGTAGCTATAGAATTCTGGGATGTTGACGGACTATTTCATCAGATTCTTAAAATAAGGACATGTTCTGGAGAGTACATATCGTTCTTTCTAAGTTCAAGGATAATCATTCATAAGAAAGTGCAAGGGTTTGAGTCATAGGTAATGATCTTTTATATTTGGCTTGTGCTGAAACATAAGAGGTTGCTTGTGATTAGCATTTAAGGTTTAATATGACAATTTTCAAAGTTTTCAGGGGAAGTTCTGTTTTATTGTTTTCGATGCTTGATCTGTTGACTTAACTAAGTCAAGTAGATATCATTGTTATTTGTGTTAACTTAGATATATGATCTATCCTTGCTCTTATTCATTTCCACTTCATGCTTTTAATCACATTCCTTTTTAGCTGCTAATGCAATATGTGATCTAGATAATAGAGCAAACTCCTTTTCTCTAGTCAATTTGTCACATGTGCGAGGGTTTGTTTGTTTGTTTGTGTAAAGAAAACCAATGAATTATGGTTTTATCTTCTTTTTTCTGCTTTAAGCTTTAAACACCTAAATTAAGTTAACGCATAAACCACCATACATGATACCACCATCCAACATCTACAAAGTAAAGAGTTTGGTTGGTTTTACGCAAATTCAACTCAATTGAGCACACGGGCCTTTCCGTTAACAAATCTTATTCTTTCCCTATTTTGAAGCAAAAAATGTAATCCCTATAGGAGTTTGATTAGATGGAAAAAGATGATTTTATCATTTTCTATCATCATTATCATCTCTTTTGGGCAGTTTATAAAGACCGCTATAACAAAACAGTATTTTATACTATAAATACGAAAGTCTGATTGAAAGTCGTGTGCCTATGAGTCACTAGTTTGCATATCTAGAGCCAGCGGTTATAAGTTTCCAGAAGTTGCTAAATGCATTATAAACGCAAATGAAATGACATGCATTCCTAACAAGTTAACAAGATATACCATAACTGCAGAATAACCATCATTTATATAAACATGATACCATCAGAAAGCAAAGATGTAGTTTTACTTTTTTTTTGTGTTTCTAAGTTTGGTTTCTGTTTGTGCAGGCATGGCTTCTGGTTTTAGTTGTTTTACCAGCAAGGTCCCATATATATATGCGTTTTGGATTAATCACTTTTCTGGCTCTATTGTCTGTATGGATACAGCCAAGACAAGTTTGGGTGGTATGTGTCGCCATTTCTCTTATTGCTATTGAATATTTTTCACTTGAAGATGCTAATTAATAGTGTTTGTAGGATCAACTGGGAAGAGTTGCCTTACTATCCGGGATTTTGTTCCTAATGTTGGGACTCGGTGCAGATAGCATGCCAATGGTTGTACAGTCAAGAACCCCACCGCCTTCAATGATGGGATTGTCCGCTATTCCATCATCTTTTGCTGGTTATTCATATCTATTATTCAAATTAGGACCGTTGCAGCTTACAAGAAAAGGACTGTCTGTAGCCAGCACATCTGCATGCTTAACCTTCACCGTAAGTTTTTTATTTTTTATTTTTGAAAATCATTGTATTCAACGAGAAATTAAGCTCAAATCATATATGTTTCTTATGTGTTTAAGCGGGTCTTTACTTGTAGATTTTTCAAAGTGCAAGTCTTTGCCTGAGCACTACAACACCAGAACAACTTGCGTTTGGTCTGGAATGGTTTATGAAGCCATTGGCGTATGTTGGTGTCCCAGTTGCCGAAGTTATTCTTACTCTTCTACTATCATTGAGGTTTATCAACCTAGTCTTCGATGAGGTGAGCTACATTTATTGACTCATACTGTCTTCACTGAAACAACTACTCTACTCCACTTTTTTTTTATGTTAGGTTCGGATTGTTGCATTGGGGATTGTATCTCGAAGGATAAATTGGCAACAGTTGGCTACTATGGAGACAGTTGAAGGTAAATCTACAACTTTTTATTATACCAAGTTGTAATGCATTGTCTTTATGATTTAATTTCGTAATTTGAAGCATACTCTGTTGAATTGCAGTTTTCTTTACGTACATCCGTCGGATCTTCAAAAATATATTTAATCACGCAGAGCAGATAACCCAGGTTTGAGATACTGCTGCCTTTATCGTACTTGTTATTTCATTACAAAACAACCACAGTTTGTGTTCGAGCGGTAAGACCTTGCTCCCCAATCATCACTGGTTCTGGTCCCCTCATGACCACTCGAGGTTTGACTGATTGTTAACTTTATAGGCCTTATGGGGGGTTAGTCAAGAGCCGATCCGAGGTTATAAAGTAAGTGCTGAAAAATATGACGAGTATAATGGTTAGGGTTGCACACCGGTTGGGTTAGCCTAGTTGAAAGCATTTTAACAATCCATCCCAATATTTGCGGTTTGAAAAATCTCGACCCAAACCGAACCATGCGGGTTGGGTTGGTCGGGTTGAAACTTTGGAACAACCTACCTAGGCGATTGTGTAGTAAAATCAAAATGAGAACATAGAACATTAGGAATAAGGCTAACATACTCAAAGAAGAAAGTTGAAGGTTCATAAAAATAAGAAAGTAAAATTATGGTTGAAAGTTTGATATGATTTTTGAGGCTTCATTCCGACAAACTAGCTGATAAGCTAAATGATGAACTAATCACGCTTGGCAAAAACTAGCTTATAAGCTAGTTAGAAAATACAAAATGACCAACATGACCATCTCCGACTACTGCATTTAATGTTTAGATTTAAGGTTTGATTGGGTTTTGATTTTGGATCTGAGTTTGCCGGAGAAGATGAGCGGAGGGTGGGGTTGGGCTAAGGGGTTTGCCGGAGTGTAGGGGCGTCAAGGGGGAAGAATAGGAGGGTGGGTCGGTTTTGAGGTGCATGAGTAGATTGTAGTTCAAATTTATTTAAAAATACAAAACGAGAAAAATGATAAAACAAAAAAGATAAAAGAATAAAAAGACCAAACTGCCCCCAAGTTGACTTATTTTTTTTAACAGAGTTAACTAGTTGGACCAAATCCAAAACTAAACAGCAACCAACCAAAGGGACCAAATCTGAAATAAAGTGGCAACCATAGCGACCAAAATTGCAATTAGTTTAAAGTAGGGACTAGACTTGATACCGAGTGGCAACCACAGGAACCAAAAATGTAATTCACTGTATTAAAAATAAATCATTAATAGTATAATATGTTAACTAGGTTCGCACCCGTGTATTACACGGGCTACTTTAAATAAATGAAATGATTTCAGGAAACTTATCTTCCACTTATGAATGATCGTCGAAAGTGATGATATGATGAAAATCAGGTGATTCAAACGGTGCAATGTTGCAAAACAGAAACCTTTAGTGCTCATTCGTGTATCAAAGAACTGCAAGGGGGGATCAGAGGTGGACCAGAGCAAATAAACTCCTTCATGCAGAGCTCTGTATAGGCAAGCCAGAGGCTTTGTAAGTACTATACAGAGGGTTTGCAACTACTATGCAGAGGCTCTACAGGTACCATGCAGAGCTCTGCATGTTGTTCTTCATGCTTGTCCGTGCAATCAAAACCTCAAAGACCGGAACTCAACTTTGCCAATCTGAGTGATGAAGAGTAGCAAAATTCAGCCACAATTTAAAGGCACGGTTGATGAGAAAAAAACGGAATTTGAATTCAAACTTAAAACTAAATCCCGATTTTATTGGGATTACAATAGGCAATGGATAAAAGTTTGAATTTTGAATTAGAAATTAACGTATATCAATAAATTGAATTTAAACTTGGAAATAATCCCATTTTTTTCAGAGTTAAGAAGTCTGAAGTCTGCAGTCTTATTGAAAGTTTTAAATCTAAACGAGGAAACTTCAGTTTTATTAACTCTGACATTTCCTCATTTAGATTTAGAACTTTGAAGAAGAGTGCAGACTTCAGACTTAGTAAGTCTGAAATTTCCAGAGATAAATAACTCTGAAGTGTAACTCTAAAGAGCAAGAGTTCAGAGTTGTCTTCTATGTCTCAAAAATAACTCAGAAGTGTAACTCTGAAGAAAAGAGTTCAGAGTTGTCTTCCAAGTCTGGGAAATAACTCTGAGAATAACTCTGAATCACAAAAGTTAAGAATTGTCTTCTAAGTCTGGAAAATAACTCCAGAATACCTGACAGTAGACACTTCACAATTCAGACGTAGAAGTAAATCCCATTTTTTCAGAGTTCTGAAGTCTGAAGTCTGCAGTCTTATTGAAAGTTCTAAATCTAAATGAGGAAACTTCAGTTTTATTAACTCTGACATTTCCTAACTTGGATTTAGAACTTTGAAGGAGAGTGCAGACTTCAGACTTAGTAAGTTTGGAATTTCCAGAGATAAATAACTCTGAAGAGCAAGAGTTCATAGTTGTCTTCTATGTCTCGAAAATAACTCATAAGTGTAACTCTGAATAAAAGAGTTCAGAGTCGTCGTCTAAGTCTGGGAAATAACTCTGAATCACAGGAGTTCAGAGTTGTTTTCTAAGTCTGGAAAATAACTCCAGAATACTTGAAAGTACAGACTTCACAGTTCAGACTTCTTAGTTGGGATTTCTTCATTCAGACTTAGATGTCTGAATAAAAACAGAGCAAGAGTTCCGAGTTGTCTTCTAAGTCTGGAAAATAACTTTGAAGAAAAGGAGCTCAGAGTTGTCTTTTATGTCTTGGAAAATAACTCTGAGAATAACTCTGAAGCACAGGAGTTCATATTCCGAGTCTGGAACATAACTCCAGAATACTTGATACTACAGACTTCACAGTTCAGACTTCTTAATTGGGATTTCTTCATTCAGACTTAGAAGTCTGAATAACTACGGAGCAAGAGGTCAGGGTTGTCTTCTAAGTCTGGAAATTAACTGAGCATGACTTTGAAGCACAACAGTTCAGAGTTGTCTTCTAAGTCTGGAAATTAACTACACATTGTAACTCTGGAGAACAACAAACCAGAGTTGTCTTATAACTCTGGAAAATAACTCTGACAATAATTCTGAATCACAAGAGTTCAGAGTACAAACTTCACATTGCAGACTTCTTAATTGGGATTACTTCAGACTTAGAAGTCTAAATATGAATATTCAGAGTTATATTCTTAATTACCTATTTTACCCTGCTAAGAAAGTAAATCCCGTTTCGTACGGAACTCAGTTAAAACACGAAAAAAAAGATACATGTTTAGAGGGACATATGTCAACCAAATAGGCCTCTTTGAACCACTAATGTAAATTGTGTCTACATACATGTTTAGGCGGGAAAACAATATAACCGTCTCACCATATGATGACACGTGGCACTCAAGTTACTTATTTATTATATGCATATATTAATACAAACTAGATGAACATCAACAGCCCTCATTAATTTATGGTTCTATAATCTGTGCTGTTTGAGTTTGATTTTGATATATTTAGGGTTTGGTTTTTGGATGAGTTTATATAATGTGGGTGAAGTAGATGTTTATGTATGTTTTCGCAGGCGATGAATGTGAGAGGGTTCAGGGGTGACAGCAAGTTGCACAAGATTTACTTCTCATCGACTTCTTCTGCAGCAGTGGCAAATGTCATATCCATTATGACACTAGTCGGACTTATATCTGCTGCTGTATTATCCGAGTATATGCTTAGCTAACGTCATACATGAAAACGTTCAACGATACATCAAACTCACACAATTCTATCTGTCCGAACAAGCAACTTAAACATGGAGCGCTAATGTTTACTGCAAGCGCTTGGAGTCGGCCAGCGTCCATGAGAACAACCCAAAAATGTGTACTAGTGTATCAGGCCCTGCATTTGACAAAGGATTCAAACTTAGAATTCTGGGGGCATGGATCATGAATTTTGTGTAATTTTTACTTTTTTAGTACATTATGGGACAGAATACATGACATGACATAATAAAAACTGTCCCATATTTGGTACGACATTTTGATTGGAGTGAGACATCAAAATGGATGGAATAAAAAAACCCCAAAACCTTCCGCAACTCTTTTACTCGCTTACGTCATTCTCATCTGAGTCCTATTCAGTCTTATGACATAGCAACCGGACCTTAGGACAAAACAAAAACTTGGTCCACGTTTGGCATGAAATTAGATCGGAACTCAGTGGGACAAAAATGCATCGTTTTGACTCACCAAAATAGGTGAAACATGAATTAGGGAAAGAGAGAAAAGATCGGTAAATTATTAAACCATCCATGTCAAATTAAAACTTTAATATCTTCCACAAATTCATCCGTCTACTTATTTTTGCCTGTCGAGTCTTGTTCCCAAATGAAGCACGCCTAACGTACCACAATCATGCAAGAATGTAAAATAGTTAAGAGCAAAAAGATGTACAATAGGATTTAAGTTCTTAAGATAACTTGGACCTTTTAGTTGATAGATCTGTAAACATATCATGAGTGCTAATGTGCTTGATACATAAACGATGTTTCTTCACTCCTTGTAAGAACAAATACTTTGCGTTAAGATATAATACAACATCATTTGAACTATTGTTTTTCGAGAAGCTTATGATTGCGTTATTATGGTAGTAAATCTTCATTGGCCTTGAAATGGAGTTCACTACTTTTTGAGTCCATTTATCAAATTTCTCAACAACATTGCATGACATGTTACATCATAAACTATAATCATCCGTCATCGTTGAAGTCGTCGTCAGTTGTTGTTTATGACTCCTCCAAGAAATAGTCACACCCAAAAAGCATAAAAAGCTATCCCCAAGTTGACTTATTATCGTCCTTGCATTTTGCAGAGTTCAAGTCGGAGTATCAGATGATCTCAAGCTTTTCCAATCTTCTATAAGTCAATCTGTACTCTTTCATTCATGTAACTTTATTTACTATTTTATTGCACGGCTACATGTTATCATGTCACAACCTGATCAACTCCCAACGAGTTAAGTTGGATTATACTCAAAATACTTCTATAACACGTTGCGATTTTTCAAATCACACCGATCAAAAACCAGCCCACTTAATCCATGTGCAACCTTAATCCAACAAGTGTTTGCACGGCCAACCGGAACCGATCAATCAACAGATAGGATGGCAAATTCCAAATCTGGTTCCAACTGGTACCAGATAACGGATTTTGCAAAAATCCAAACCACTACACACCTGACACCTCTACTCCATCACAAAAACATTTAATCCAAAGATTGTACCACATCATCTGTAGACATGTTACAATAAACCAATCAAAATTGTTTAAAATCCATAATGACACCCACAAACCAGGGAAAAAAAACCACCATGCCGCCAACGCCACCACAAGACGTACACACCAAGGCGGCATTCACACAAGAAACAACATTATAATAATAACGAATCAAAGATCATCGTCTAGGTAAAACAAGATAACCAACCCATCATTCTAGTCAGACTCGGACTCAAACACAAGAAGTTGATGCCAGAAATCATATTAGTATATTTCGGATGAAAAACAATAGTAATAGTAATGTTATTCACATAATCTCCTCTACCATCCTAGGTTTCGATTCCCAACCATTGGACTTCAGTTGGTACGAACCTATTCCATCATAGGGACCGATCCGCCAGCCTGCAAGATTTGTTGCTCCAACTGCATTCATCATATGCAGAACGGGTCAAAACACGAAGGAAGATATCAACATCTTTCCTAAACACAGACCTAGACTTTGACTTGGACAAGGGTAAAAACATAAATTACTAGCTTTTGGTAGAAGACATACCCTGAACAAGGCTTCGAGTTTGTTCCTAACGAGAACATACTCGTGTCTCACTTGCTGCAGACACTGCATACACCTGCAACCACCAGCCAACGAATTTAGAAAGAAAGTTTTGATAGTAGTAGTACTTTCATAGTTTAACTTCAGATGTCAAACAAACAACTTTCAATTTCAGAATGACATGACTCCATTAAGAAGTACAATTGCATTTGGTACGTGGAAGGAACTGGACAGGACTGGACAAGACTGGACAGGCAAGAGTGAGATAGGTGTGTGAACGGGAATTGTGAAAGATTTTAGGGTTTTAATTTGACATGATAGTATAGTAATTTACCAATTGTGACCGGTCTTGATTTTTGTTCCACCTATTTTGGTGGGACATGAAAAAAAATGCATGTTGGTCTCACTTAGATTTGGTCAAACGTGGGACAAGTTTTTTTATTGTCTCATCCTGCATACTAAACGCACTCTACATAAACAAAACTTAAATGAGCCCAATATATCCCATCAGGAGATGGGGTTTGCGGGTGGGGTATATATAGACCTATCCTTTACCCTAAAGAGTAGACAGTTGTTTCTATGAAGACCCCAGCCAGATATGAAGTACAAGAATTACTATGGAAAAAATTATTGGTGTTAAATTTAGCTACTCTCTCCATATCAAGAAAATGCCATGTAGCTCTATAAAAGAGTTTGACTAATTATCCAAATGACGAAACCACCCTCAACGATGACATTATAGAAGAATCTTTATATGCCTGGATCAATAATTTATAAGGGTCAAAGATGTAATTTAGCTACAAAAACTTGCCAAAAAAGGAAAACACCATAATGCTCATGGGACACATCCCAGGACTGGCACTTGTACTGATATGGGAATAAAATGTTTTCTTGTTATAGAAACATGATAAACCCTTAAAAGACAAATCAAATACTTGCAGATATAGTCAGAAACAACTGGTAAATAATCATGTTAACCATTTTTCACTTCTTTACAATACAAAGTGATTTCAAAACTGTGAACATTATTTCCAACGGTTTAAGGTTATTATCATCAGTAAAAAGAAAAGAAAGGGATCCATGTCGAACTTTAAAAACCAACCTAAATAATTTTTTGACTACAAGATTCAAATGTATCTTAAAAATTTTTATGAAAATTTGCAATGACTCTATTAAACATCGTATCGAATACCATTTAGTAGTGCACATAGGAACATTCACATGAGAAAAGTATCCAAACATCTTTTAGTAACCACACCATAAATAATCTTTTGAACATAAAGCACCATCATTAGTTTTTTAAGTGATGATAAGAATTGGTAAACATAGCTTGAAAACTTTCCAGAAATAAAAAGTACTGCAATTTCTATAGTACATGTGTAATGTATACTAATTTCTTCATGAAAACAGTTGCTCTACTCTCTAGGATACGGGTCAAGTCTGCATACATCAGAACCCCCTAAAAAGAAGGACCTCACCTCTTGATGGATATATTGCGCTCGTTTGGTTTGGTTTGGTTCGGTTTGGTTCAAGTAGCATGATAAATCAAAACAAACCAAATCAAACCAAACGAGCCGAGTATATCCCACCCGGAGGTGGGCTCTTTTTTTTTTGGTAGGAGGGAGGGAGGATGGGATGTAAGTGACCTGACCTTTACCCTAAAGAATAGAGTGGTTGTTTCCTTGAAGAACCCCAACTAGTGAAATCTACAATTATCAAAACAAGATTACATATAGAACCCTAAATCAAGACTATTCATCATCATACTTCTTTGTACCTTAATATGTTCTTGGGTCTTACTGCCTACAAATAATATCTCCTTCGAAATCCATAATTGTAATAATGAGAAATAGTTACTTACCCTTCAAGATTTTTCTCCTCACAGTAGTTTCTGAAGACAACACACATGTTTGTGACTCGTTGTGCCCCTATGCTGTTGAGACAAATTACCAAAAAGGAGGGAAAAAATCATCAATCTTTTTATTCAAACATATTGAGTAGCAACCAACAAGCACAAAGACATTTTATCATTATAATCTGTGCATAGATCATATATAAATTGAAATCTTTTGTCCAAAAATAGGCGTGTCAGGAAAAGATCGGTGAATACCTGGAACTACTACCCTTGAACTGGTGAACATGAGAATCAACCTGTTTATAATCCACAGTCTTCTGCTGACTTTTTGATCAAAAGTCAGACAAAAAGTATATTACAATAAGGAACAAATAACAAGCGTCTAAAATACGTTGAGAAAAAGAACCCTGATTGGTAAAAAGTGAGCTTACAGAGCAGTTGCCAAATTGTTAAGAAGCTTTTCCGAGTCTTCAAAGAAAAGAGACACCACTTCAACCACGAAATCTGGGTTGCTCTCATCTTGCAGTTTCTGAAGTTGTGTAAACTGATCATCAAGATACCCCTAACAACATCCAAAAATCAACCCATAAATACGAAATTGAAATAAGAGAAATAAAAACTCCCACTTTCCCAGGCTAAAGAGAAATACGTTATAATACTAGAAGTTTTTTTAAGCGACATTTTTCAAGTTTAAAGAGATCTCAGACCTCATTATACAAAGATGTTGTGTACTCGATAAACTGCCTTTGCAACTGAGGGACAGCAGCCATGGTTTCTTGCTTTTTTGAAGAACAATGTTTACCCTTTATCGTTCTTGATTTGAAAGCGTATCTGCAAAATTAGCAATCTTATCAGCCCATCTCGTATATACATATCATATGCATACACACACACTATGCTGTTGCAGCAATCAAAATCTAATATAGCAATCAGGACCGTGATTTGATATAATGGTTATAGCAATGGTAAATCGGTGGTATAGCAGTCCTAAAATAGCAGTCCATATAATAGTTAGAATTATATATATATATACACACACACACTAACACACACAAACACACATAATATATTATATACGTCGAAGACGAATAGAAGAACATGTGAATGGAAGAGATGACGAACAGACAATGTTGGAAGATGATGTTGATCTCAAGCGAAGATGCAGAAGAGAGAAGACGATGCACGCCGCCGATACCGAAGAAATGAGAAAGAAATAGCGAGTTTTCACCCTGATATTGCAAATCAAAATTGGTGCCCTAGCCCATAGTCCCTTGATCTTCACTAAACCCTAAAAAAGCCCGACTGAAAGCCCAACCCCTATATGTGGTTTTAACACCGGTATTGCAAATCATAATTGCGGCCCAGGACCACTGACCGCTATAACACCGCAATTAACAGCATAGCACACACACATGAGTAAATATGAAATACATGAAGGTGTGAGCTTAATGGTCAATAAAAGCTAGTATTAACTTACCAAAATGAGAAAGAAAACAACTCATTTATCGATTTCTTTAGCTACAAATATATGTACAAATATATAAATACATGTATGCAAGTATGTATTTATGTGTGTGTAGTGAAGGCATGGAGATATGAACTTAATGCTTGGAAAAACTAGTATCAACTTACCAAAATGAGAGAAAAAGATAAAACCTCATCAGTTTCCTTCCTAACACACACACACACGCACACACACACACACACACATATACATATATATGGTATAAAACAGGCAAGAAGGTGCGTACTTAGTGGTGGAAAAAAAAAATACTATTTACTGAAATGAGAACAAAACAACAGCTAATTCATCGGTTTCTTTTAGTACATATTTCCCAAATAAGATTCTTTTTGCTACCAAAAGTGACACAAGAACTTAGCTTTTCCACAGGATCACATCCTGCAATTTCTTTTATATCTTAATCCCACCATTGATTTATGGCGGGACCACAAAAATCACACTTAAACGCTTTAATTATTTTCAACTGTTCTATGATTCCAATTGAAAGGCTCTTCAGTTTCTTTAAATTATCAGAGTTATGCCATTCATCGAATCTGATATATGATAATGTTGATTAATCGGGCCAAACGAATTCTTTAAGCTACAAGAACTCATGGGATTCCTTTATAAAAAGAGCAATGATCATACATCGTTGTACATATATCTACATCATCTTATTATAATTAGCAGAAAATCAAATCTTGTACTTTCCACCCACAAAGAATCAACATTAAATATTATTGAACAAAAGTTGAGATATCATCGGGTCCCACACATATCAAGATAACAACTAAGAAATCAATCAAACGTACAAGAAACTCCTTTCACTTTTTCCTCTTCTGTTTCCACTTACAAATTTCAGACAATAGATTCCTCCGACTAAAGTCCCTACCAGAAAAGATATACACCATCATGTTTCGATTTCAAGATCAGAGCGGTACTTTTTCAAAAGCAGAAAGTTCATTTTCACTAAAAGCAAACTAGTTCTCAATTGAGATAATGGTGGGATTGACAATTTCAAACACTAAGCTTCACCATCATTAAAATGCCCTTATATTCGTTTATCCAAAAGAAAGGAAGAAAGAAAATTTTGTTCCCTTTGGTGTATCTACCATGAAGAAATATAACTCGGGAACATTGTTGAAGAGGGCAGCAAAAATAAGAGTTATTTTTAATACTTGCAGCTTTGAGAGCCTCACTAGGAATCAATCATCCCAACCATGAGGAACCAAAATCAACATAACTGTAAGGAATCATAATTTAGGTGTCTGCATATGTATACCTTTCCAGACCCCAGCTCAGGTGGGATATAATTGGTTCGGTTGGTTTGGTTTGGTTTTAATCAAAACTGCAATTGTATCTTACCAGCATCATGATGATTGAAGAAGAGAAGCCTACTCTAACAGGGAAAACAAAACAAAATTTAAGAAAAACAAGGGATAAGATCAAAGATGATATGGTATTCATTGGTATTGAACTTTTTGGCTGATGAATGTTGTGGCACATTTTACTTGATCCTTTGGTTTCTTTTAAGGTGTTTGAGGTTTTATTTGCAGGTTCATAGTATCTAATCAAAACAGTGGGCATTAAGAAATACTGTTTAACATTGTTTAGTACTTGAATGAATCCCCAATGGCCGCATTTTGGCTGTCTACTAGAAAGCTAATGAACTAAACATGTTGATACCACTAGGGTTCAGAAACTTACAGAACATAAATTCAGAATCAATGAATCATATCATCATATTACTCTAGCACAATCAAAGATCAGTAACATACAACCACAGTTGCAGAAGAATCAAGATCAGTAAACTTATAAAACTAGAAGCAGTCAGCAACTCAAACAGATGAAGGTTGAACCATCAAGGGAATTAGGGCTAGACTGTTAAAGCCTAATCGATCTAAATTACAAAAGATAAACCCTTTATATCACGATAAGTAGATAAACACAAAAGATTAATCAACCAAATTCATGTAACAAAGTAAGAAAAATCACCATTTCGCTATAAATAACGGTAAAACAACAGATTACAAGAAACACCCAGATGGAATAAAAGTTACCGGCTATGATGTAAGATTACTCCGACTGTAACTGCGGCGGAGCGCGGTGGTGCCTGAAAGTGGTCAACTTGATGTAGTACCAACTAGAAACAACACAGCAAAGCACAGGAAAGATCGGGAACAAGAAGAGAAGACAAAAGAGAGCATATGTTTGTGTGTGATTTGTTTTGCTTCCCCCAAAATATTCGATTAGATTATGGCACGTTGTGGGACAAAAAGGATCTTATACGTTGCAGATTAATTGAATTTGGGAAGTTTAGTGGTGACCCCTCAATCATCCAAAAACGAAATGGATTCTTGTTATAAACTTTTTCTAGAATTCAACATAAAAACAAAACCATTTTGTATCTTTTGAAGGATCCAATGCAGTGATGAAATGAATGCAACAAACAAACTAAATTAAATGTTTTATTATATACCAGAAGAAGACTTGCGTAATGCAGCGAAATAAATCTTGATTTTAATGTTTAGTTTTTATGTTTTGTCTCTATCGATATGATATGATTTTATGTGGTTTTGAGAAAGCGATAATGTTTTTATTTTTGAATGAAATATGAATTTGAAAAAAATAAATCGATATTAGTATCAAATTAACTATTTAATAGTTCTCGTTTTTTTATGTAAATGTTTTAATTCAATTTTTTATTATAATTTAATTTAGATTTAATAACAAAGTAATTTATTTTTGATTTAATAATATAATTTTTTATAAAGATAATAATTAAATATTCTGTTAGAACTCAATGATTATCCTAATTATATTTCAGATTTTCTATATTCAAAGTGGATATTTATCCTGTATTTGATTATGTTTATTCGCAATTAGTTACACGAATTTAAAAATGGAGCTTTAATAAGTTATACTTGCGTAAAATTACTTGTAAACTTGAATGTTCAAGTAATATGCATCAATAWACAGTACTTTATGCATATAAATGGTTTTTAAAAGTTTTTATCAAATGTTTTATAATATAGTATATGCATGTATAGTTATAGTTATCTTGAAATTTTTAAGAGGTACAAGTTATTATGCTAAATGTATAGACTTTAAAGTTTGCACATATTAAATTACATAATCAAAAAATGTTAAAAATGTGTTTTTTTTTTTTTTTTTTGTTACAAATTATACCATTATAATTTTGGATCGTTTTGATTGTTTAACTTTTATTGTCATACAAAACATTGGACAAATCTTGAGCATGTAGAAGCTTATGATTGTTATTTTGGATCTTATTAAAACTAAACCGAACAAACCAACTCAATATATTCCAATTGTATGACGACCTTTTATGTACCTCTTAATTTTTGAAAATGATAGACCAGTAGACCTTACTATAAGGTCTGAATGTTGAAAATGTTAGACCAATATTCAAATTTATGCTTATAAAGATTGATATCTATTCTAAAAGTCTTGCTTTAAAAAACAATTGGTATTGATCTTGACTGGCTGGAAAAAAAAAGCAACTAGTAAAAAGCATTTTTTTGGTTGCTATTGTGAAGAAACTCACCTGCTCAAAAATTCGATTCTTTTGACCGAAAGTGAATAACCTGAATTACCTGGCTGGGTTTGTGGAGGAAGGAAAACATAAACCTGTAATCGACTCAACCGAAGAGGCTTGGGCCAAGAGCATCATGTTCTTATATACACATACATATCTATTGTAAACCTACTTTTTTTTTAACTATTTTACAACTGTTGTTTTTTTTCTTTCTAACAGAGTTATATAAGTAGTGTTTTATATGGAAAAATATTATTTATATGACTTGATTCCCAATTGGCGTGTTTAAAATCAAAAGCATACATTTTTAAGTATTTACGAAAATACCATTATGTTTTATTGAGAAACACATTTATAACATATTCTTATCTTTTGATGAAATGCTAGCATCTGAGAAAACCATTGAAAATAATTCTTTTACTGATGAACCATAAACTTTAACTTCAAAATCACAGTAGCAACCAATAATAAAATTCTCAACTTGTATTATATTCACAAATTAAAAGACTTTCAAATTAGCCACTATCATTTTCACCGTGATGTCTAAGCCAACTTGCTTGCATCTTGATTAGTCTCAAGAGCTTTGGAAAAATTAGAACTGGTAATTTTGAGAAAGATCTCCATAACAACATCATCTGCTAACCATTTGCACACAAGGAAACATGTTTTTCACAACGTTAACATTGATTTGCTTTGAATTCTGTCTCACATTCAACATAAAAATGTAAAATGGATCAGCATATATATTTTATTTGTACTAGGTATTTATTCAAAATTTACACTGAGCTATGTTGTATGGGTATACAACTAGCATCAGGATGGACAAAAAATAGACAAAAATAAAACATGGTTGACATTTTATGTTATCGACTTTAGATTGAGATGCACACCGCAGCATCACACGGCCCTATGGCCCTATTTGTAAAGTAGCTCTATTCCTATTTAGGGAACGAAGACTACCGTACTGGCTTAGAAAAGAGAAAAATATATATAGCATACATGTTGAAGATGTTCTCACATTGTTAAAATGATTATTACAGATTAAAAAAAATATAAGATCATTTTCAACATATTTTTCTAAATTTCTATAAAACTAAGAGTCGTAATTAAAAAAAAAAAGTTACATTCAGCTCTAGCAACTATTCAATTTTGGATAATACAATATTGATTATATTACTAAAATATTGCATACATGTAATAAAATAATATTTCTCTTTACCAGACATTTAATTTCAAGGTTTATTATTGGTTAGAAATAACAGTAAATATTTTAACTCATTTTAATCATCTTTTGGGAGTTATACAGATTTGGAGTATTTCTGGACACCCTTTCTCCTATATTCTTTATTTTGGAGATGTTGTTAGCACATTTTCATCAAAATCTCTAAAATATTTGTTTTCTTTCGTTTTAAAAAATATGTTGGAATTGAAGGGTGATGTAAAGTTGATCTTCTTCTTCAGGCAGCATATCCATAGCCATCCTGCCCCCTCACGTCAACGGTCAATCCCACGAGCCTCTTATCCATTCTCTCTAATTTGATAAGTTTCAATACTTGATGTATCTCATAGATTCAAAATATGTGTTATATCTACATTTATTGTGTACGTACCTGAATTAATTTTATGGGGTTCTGAAGTTAAGCAGCTACAAAACTCCAGTAATCCTGAGAGGACTTAAAATGGGTTAATGAGAATTTTAAGTGTGTAAAATTTAAAAGATAGTGTTATTAGTATATCTTTAGATGACGCTAGTAATAATAGTGATATGATCAGCTACAAGCATGCTTTAAATCTGATTAGTGATGGTAAATAATTTTGTATTACGTTTGTTGTCATTATTAAGTGCATATTATGCACCTAATTTTATGTAGATTAGTTGCGTTTTTAGTGCATTTCAATGTTTACTTTAATTTAGTGTCTGCATGCATTTTTTTTCTTGGTCTTTTTTTTCTTTAGCTCTAATCATGAATTTATTTGTCTATTGTTCACGATCATGAAAAGTTCATTCACGGTTGTGAAAAAATTATGTCTGGTATTCTATTTTCTCTGTTTGAATTTAATAACTGTGAAGGATTCTTTCATGGACGTGAACGGCGTTTGGCAACCCACGTTCTTAAGCGTCTTTTGGTCTTTTTGTCGAGTTACTTGTAAATTTTTAGGCTTTCTTTGTCATGATTCATATTAGGTCTGTCGATCGATTTACATCCAATAGATGTGAATAGAACCGAATCGATCTAAGTCTGGGCATACTCCTCAAGATGATGGGTATCAAATCTTGCTTTGGCCACTGCACCCAGCCTGGCATGAACCCATCTCAGATCAATCATTCATTGGATGTTGGATTTTGCCAATCGAACCAATCCGATTAACATTGGATAACCGATATAATCCAACTCAATGGATGATTTGGATCAATTCATTTCATCCATTTGATAATTTTGTTGGATATCTATTGGATTGCATTAGAATTTGGACCCATCCGGCATCCAATGAATAATCAGATTGGATTAGGTCCATCCAATGTGTTAATTCAATCCAATTTTCCAGCAATGAAACAAACTGATTAATCACATTAATATGTGCTAAAACAAACACAAAAGAAATTATGATTTAAGCAAGTTGAAAACAAATAATTGGATGAGAGTGTTTATCTCAACCATCAGATTTGTATATAATACACATAAACATTCGACCAAACTCTTAGCAAGAAACATTTTTGTTTACCTTAGTTTACAAGGTACATATCTGATATAGTTCACTTATCGGATATTACCTCATCCGATTCTATTGTTTATTGGATTAAGATATATCACTCATCGGATATATCCTTGAACAATTGAGTTTCATCTAAAAACAAATAATAAACCATAATCTGATTAATTCCTTTTTTGGATGAAGGATATCTATCACTCTGTACTCATTGTATATCCGATGTAACTATTTCATAATTTTCTATAGCTGGTAAATCTGGTGTATGCTTATCTCTCGGATATAGTTAAAGGTAGGATTGTTACTTATAAAAGTCTTATAATTGTCTGTATTGATCCAAAAGCAAAATACATTCAATAAGATCGAAGACTAGTTGAAGTGAGATCAAGATCGTCACCAAAAAGGATTGGTTTGTCATCTAGCTGAAAGAAGATCAGTTAAGATAAAAAAATCATCTAATAGTCTAACAAATACTACTATTGGCAAGCTGAATCTTGAAATACAAATTTGGCCGACAAGTTTGGTTCACCAACTCTTCTACTTCTGTTCTTGGTATGAGAACATGTACAACATGTCAGCCTAAGTAAGTACAAATGCATCATATGATTTGTACTTTGTTTGTTTTACTGTTACCTCGACATACTTAAGGATATAATAAGTTAAAATTGTGTCTACATCAAACTCAAAGGTTGAAGTGAAGAGTAGCATAATATATAGATCAGCCACCCAGAAGAAGACACACAGAAAAGTTGAATATAATGTGTTTAATACAATGATGACTATAAAAGGTCAACCTTGGCATTCATTGCAATTCACACGATTTGAAGAAGTTGAGAGTGTTTCTGAAGTAAATTAGACGTCGAAAAACTTCCTTAGTTCTTCGGATCTGAAAGAGAACCTCTTTTCTCCCTCTTTTTCAGTTTAGCAAACTTGTTACAGTTAGTTAGTTTAGGATCACAAGTCTTACTTTTCTAGTTTTCGCAACATATCTGTAATTCTTTGTTTTATACAAATTATAGACCAAAAAATTAAAAAGTGAAAATCTGTTGTGTTTGTATTTAACTCCCACTTCTACAAACACATCATGTGTAAGTCATTACTTCTCAGGACCACCAGATTGTTGGATAATAGTTGGATGGATAACTAGATAGTCATTGCATAGTTAACTAGATGTGTATTTGGATGTTGGTTGGTTCGATTCGGTCGGCTTTAGTCGGTTCTGAACTGCCTTCTAAGAACCGATTGATCCAAATTCGATGTTGAAATTTTCAATCTGATCCAATCCAATTACAATTGGATATCCAGTTATGATTGATCGGTTGACTTTCTACACACCCCTGATTTATACACCATTAGTTGGATCTATTCCAAAAACTCCCTAGTTATGTATTTTGAATTTTGTGGAAAAAAGGCATCTAATTTTCAAGATTTTCGGGTTTGATTCTCAAGTTTTTGCATATTTTTGTTTAATTTGAATTCCCACAACTTCTCTAAGTTGTTTATATTCTTATATCTTAATCTGTTTTCCACTGTCCCATTGTAGTGGAAACATTCTTAGGGGCTTGAAAGGTACTTATTTTATTTCTTGAGTGCCCTTATACTTTATGAAACTAAACTACAGACACAAGTTGGTGTTTGTTATCAGTTAAGGTGACATCGGGTAAACATCTTGCATTTCAGATATTTATTTTGGAAGGAAAAGACAATGAAAAGGGTCAAACACGAGACCTATCTCTGTAAAAGCCAGGGAACCGACCAACAAATCTATAATCTTTTTTCACTAAAAAAGTTCTAAAGATTTGTTTCTTATAATCAAATGGTGTTACCGCTTAAAAAGCCCTTAAAGCCTTCCGCCACCGCCCATACCAGACGTTTTTCAAACCGTGTTGACCAACCCTTTGACCATCAGGTTTTTCAGGATCGATCTATCTACAGTTTAGTATCATCTTGGCATGGATTTGTATCGACTTGTTTAAAACAATGAACGTCATGAGACCATAAATATTCAGTATTTCTGAATACGGGTTCATATTTGCTTATCTTATTCAGAAATTATAACAAATCTATCATTTTAAGAATTATCATTTATATATTTTACAAGATTTACAACAATTTCATCCCCAAAATACCCCTCCCCCATGATAACTCTTTTACCCTACCAAACCCGTTTACGGTATTCCCCAAGTGCCCAAAGTGGATAAATATTCCTGTATTGAGCATAAAGCAGCAAACAGTTCTTCATGTACACTCCCGTAATTTCCTGATTCTCAAAACAAAATTTATCAGTTTTCAAAATAACTTTGACATTTCTATTTTAATTTGTTACAGAAAACAATTATTCACTTCTAAAAATAAGTGTCTACTTTCCAATTCTACCCTTAGTTATTAGATGGAGAATTTCATTTCTTTACTATTAAGGGTAAAATTGTTATTTGAGTAATTAAAAAGTGTAATAATTGCAATTTTCTAAAATTATGTTTTTTGTTGTGAAAATGTATTTTGAGACGGGGAAGTAATTGTTATGGTTTGATTTGTTTTTAAGAGGCATACCTGTTGAGGAAAATCGCCGTTGTCCATCTGACTGTTAATCAACAGTTTTGCTGCTTTATGTAAAGGCGTTGAATCTCTTTCCACCTGGTCGTTCGTTTTAATTCGAAACGTTAAGATCAATAAAGTTTTGAGCTCTGATGAATCGTTAAAAGAAAATCTTGGAAACTAACCTGCCCGCTGAACATAAGACCGAGCATAGCCCATGATGTTTGCACCAAATTCGTTCGGTTTCCGTTCAACGGTGTATATACCTTGATGATTAGGAACAGAAAAGGCTTTAGAAGTAGCAAATTTGGTTTTCTAACAACTTACTTTCGCCTTTGGGTTAATAATTTCATTTTCCAAAATCCATTCTTTCCATTCGGGTCCATTTCAACAAAATCCGTGTTATATGATGGCAAAGATGTTTAAGTGTCTTAATAGACCGAACTTAGGTTTGTAAGACCAAACACTTGTACATCTTATCCAAAAGTGTAACAATAAGTTTATAGAGCGTTTTTGGACATCTTAACAAGTTTTTTATGATAATTTTAAAAGAAAGCTTTGACATTATCTGAAATCATGTCTTATAAAACAAGTGTGTATAAAAAAGATGCGTTCATATGACACTTTCCAAAAATGATTTATAAAAAAAATAATACAACACTTTATTTTTCAAAGGTGGCCTAAAAAATTTGTTAAAACACCACAACTCGTCATACAAATAAAATGGGTAGCACATTTACATAGGACGCACAATGATTTGGTCATATAAACCAAAGTCTTATAAAAACAATCTATTAAGACATTTTTGACATCCTTTAAACCCGTGTGTGTTATAACAGCTCTTTTAGAAAGGGATTTAGAAGGGATTATCCTTATGGATCATGTGGTTGTTAAAAAATGAAAATTGATCCTTTTTGTGTTCATAGAGAAAATAATTACCTCAGTAGGGCAAGACAGGTGGCTTTCTCCCCAACCCCCCTCTTCGTTCTGTATCGAAAGTAAGAATTTGACACCTTTACAGACTGTTTCGCTGTTATCGTATGTCTTTCCAGCGGAGCTTAAAGCCCTTAAGGCAAAAAATGTTCCATATATGAAACATACTCCCCAATAGCCATACCTATCATAGTTATAAAAAAAAAGGCTGAAGAATCTGCCTGGGACATAAATTAAATGACAAATTGCATCAAAATGTAACGAAGTTTGTCTTATTTTCTATTTATGGGTCATTTATTAAACGCTTATCTGGTAGGTGCTTACCGGGCAATTTTCCTCACTGGATGAACATGGAAAGACCCAAGAATCTTACATGGTAAGAGTGATGATAAGGATAAAGAGTCTTACTCGGTAAGTGAGGGTGACGACTCTTACCTGGATAAGCGCTTACCATATATATTGTTGCACACGATACCATTTTGATACACTACAATTTTACCTAGTTGACTCCTAATGGTAAGTGCTTACCGGGTAAGCATTTAGGTAAACAACCCTTAGTGTAACAATTAACGATAAAAAAATCTCAGTTAGGGTAAGAAACCTTCAATTTTTCCTATTTTGTACAAATTTTGCCTGATAAACAGGTTAACCTGTGGAATTGGTTGATTTTGATGTGAATTAATGTGACACTTTTTCACATAAGTATATATAATATTTTTAGTTTCAGACACTTAAAATAATAATAAATTATATTAGCTCACCATGAACCATCATGCCATTGTGTTTCTTCAAGATATCGTATTCCTTTCGAAATCGAAAGTGTGATTTCTTCCTTTCTGTGTCTTGGATGGAGACGACTGAATTCTATCAGAGCTCCGATAATGGAAGCTGTAGTCTCCACGTGCCTAATTCGCCAAAAGATAAGAGGGTACACAGTATTAGTAAGATATTCATTACAGTAAAATTGGCTTTATATGATGTCAAATATGTCTAAATGTCCTAAAATATTGTTTTATAAAACCAGACAATAATACGTCCTAAGTAAAATCATTGTAATAAGTTTATAGAACGTTTTTAGACATAATAACAAGTTTTTTCATGACACTTTTGAAACAAACCGCCCTATATTCCTATTATTCTTTTTATAGGACATTATTTGAAGAAAAAAAAATGTCTTATAAAAAGACACGTTCATAGGACATTTCTCAAAAATGTTGTATAAAAAACTAACATGACATTTTATTTCAAAAGTGTCATAAAAAACTTCTTAGACACCCGATAACATCTTTACATATGATGCACAATTGTTTGGTAATATAAGTTTAAGTTTTATAAAGCAGTTTATCATGACACTTAGACATATTTTCGTCTTACAAAACCAATTTTGTTGTGGATACCCTGAAAATGATAAGAGGGTAGTAACGATTATGCTAGAGATTTACTCTTTCTCAACGACAATATCTGCAAAAATCTCTGAAGGATTAAGTAATTGTAGAAATGGTTTCGGAATCGGTGGCTCCCAAACCGCAAATCCTCCGCTTATTGGACTCTGGATCGAGAGACACAAAAAGGAAGTGAAGCATATTCACTACGTATTATTATTTTGTTGAAGTAAAAAGATAAATCGTCTCATATGTATCTTACTTGCATGTAAAGAAGCACATTCACTGCTTCGTATAAACGGGCGGTTTTATCTTTCTCTCCGGCAATTTCTTCGGACATCTGTGATAGTAACAGCAGACACTACAAGAAAATATCGATCAATGACCATGTTTTTTCTATTATTACAACAAAATCAGCTTTACAGGCCACCAAATATGACTAAGTGACTTAATAAACTGTTTTATAGGGCTTAAAAGTTTATAGAACCAAACAAGCGTGCATTCTATGTAAAATGTGTTCCAATAAGTTGATACGACGTCCTAAAATGTTTTTTATAATACTTTTGAGATAAAACATCTTATTAATCTTTTTATATCTTATTATTTAAAAAATGTCCTATAAAAAGATGTCTTTATAGAACATTTTTCAAAACTGTCCCAAATACTTCCTAACAACTTCTTGTATCATCTTTACATAGGGTGCACAATTGTTTGATTCATATAAACTTAAGTCTTATATAAAATAGTATATTAAAACATTTAGACATATTTATCATCCTATAAAATCAGTTTTAAACAGTATAATATACAACATATACCTTTAGTGCTTCAGCTGTACAGTCTGAGACAGTCCATCCATGATCTTGATCAGAAAAGGTCCAAGATCCTTTAGTAAACTGTCTACACATTTGAGTAAAATCTCCTGAAGGGTTTTCCTTAACCTGCATATAGTTCACTTATATAATCAGAAAACCCATAACAAAAATCTTTAAGAGTTAACTACGTTTTTTCGTCTTCGTGGTCTATAATTCATTGTTTTTTTCGTCATTATGATTTACAGTTCATTATTTTTCCATCCCTTGTACTAAACATTAAACCACTAACTCCCCCTTACTCCCACAGGAATGAAAACATCAATGAATTACAAACCACATGAAGGGAAAACCGTAATTTCAAAAACACAGAGACGAAAGTCGCAATTTTTTAACAAACCACAAAGACGAAAACTGTAGTTCACTAAAATCTTTTTAATAAAAGAAAGTAATGCATTCTGATAAGAAGCAATTATTATTATTATTTTATATATATAGAGAGAGAGAGAGACTTGAGATCATGTGAGACCAAGAGTTTTTCAAGAGACCCGTAAAACCAATTCTCAACCCTTGGATTAGATTTACAATCTGAACATTCATAATCACAAAATTGTTATCGTGCAACTTTAGACCATTAGATCATTAGCTTATAAAGTTGATCAATGAACATAAATTATTCTCACAAAAAGCTCTTGGTCTCACGTAAACCCAACCCCTATATATATATATATATGTATGTGTATATATATGTATACGTATATATAGATAACCTGTGATTGTTGTAAGTAGAAGTGTGCCTTTTTAAGACAATCACCAAATTCTTGTGGCATATTACTTGCAACAATTGCTTGAATAGCAAGAGCACAATCCCACACTTGACTACCAAAACTATGCATTGTCATTCCATCTTCTGCAATCCATAAATAATCTGGTATTCTGCCCACATGATATTTGAACTCATCCCCATTTGGATTTTCTGCCCACCAACACATCATTTGTAGACTCTATCCAACACAAAATTTGAAAAAAAAAAAAGTTAAATCAAGTTCGTTCCTTAGCATGTTAAATGTGAGATTTTGAACAGGGTTCCTGAAATTTTGAGTCTCAAATTTACATGTGTTTATAGTTTTTTATTGACCTGTGTAAAACTATAGCCGAAGTTATTTAGGTTCAAATCATTAATTGTTTGGTTTTAGGTTCAAATCATTAATGGTTTAGGTTTAGTTTCATATTGTTAATCGTTTTAGGTTTAGCCCATTTTTGTTCTTAATATATATTCTTTGTTATCTCATTTATGCAATGTAATCAAAAGTTTTGGATGTAGCAGGGCCTCCAAAAAGATTGGAACGTCCCTGCGTCAAATATGTCTAAACAACTGCAAAAAGATCGAGTTTATAGAACTTAAAAACTGGGTAAATATCAAAATAGACTATTTAATATGACTTAAGTTTATAGATACAAACAATTGAGTGTCTTATGTAAAAGCGTTGCAATAAGTTTACAGTACGTTTTTAGGACACTTTTAAAATAAAGTATCGTATTAGAGTTTTTTTACATGACATTTTTGAGAAATGTCTTACGAACACATCTTTTTATAAGACAATTTTCTTCTTCAAATTATGTCATATATAATAGATTTTTTAGGACCTTTTGTTTTCAGAAGTGTCCTTAAAAACTTGTTTAGACCCTCAAAAACATTCTATAAACTTATTGCAATGATTTTAAATATGATTCAGAATTGTTCGATTATAAACATAAGTCTTATAAACCCGATTTTGTTGTAGAGGAATGTTCTTATAGACTGTCTTATAGGACTTAAGTTTATATAATCAAACAATTATGTGTCATGTGTAAAGCTTTTACAATAAGCTGATACAATGTTTTTGGTCGTCTTAACAAATTTTCAAGATACTTTTGGAATAACGATTTTTATTTGTCTTTTTACACGACAATATTTGAAAATTTGTCTTATAAAAACAAATGTCTTATGAAAAAAAGATTTATATATGACATTATTTTCAACAGTGTCTTGTAGAAAGCTAACAGGACAATTTAAATATTTCAAAAATCCCCTAATAAACTTATTCCCCAAAAACATCATATCAACTTATTATAACACTTTGACAGTGACATAGGAGGCCCAATTGTTTGCTCTTATAAATTTAAAACCTTTAAAGCAGTTTATCAAGACATTTAGACGTATTTGACGTGTTACGAAGCAGATTTTGTTGTAGAGTAGCAAATACGTTCTATTTCTAGCTAGCTAGGTTACCTTTTCGACGCATCCTATCGTCATGTATCTAGTCTCTTCGGATTCGTAGCGCATTAGATCAACAACTCTATCAAGAGATCTCTCACGTAGTTTAGAAAACGGCCAATATTTAAGAACCGGCTCAGTAAGGTAGTGAAGGGTATGCCATAACGCGTCTTGAAGAAAAGAATGCGGATAGTAGAAGTCCTCCTGCAAACCAAAAAACAAATAAAATATAAAATTAGTTTTATAGGATGTCAAACATGTCTAAATGACTTAATAGATTGCTTTGTAGGACCAAACAGTTGTGCATTAAGTTGATAGGATGATTTTGGACGTCCTAACAAGTTTTTTATGACACTTTTTAGATGAACTGTCCTATTAAAAAAGTAGTTAGGACATCCGTCGTCTTATCAACTTATTGTCACACGACTGCATAGGATGCAAATTGTTTGTTCCCATAAATGTTGTCACATATAAAGCAATTTATTAAGATATTTTGATATTTTGACGTCCTATAAGACATATTTTGTTGTAGTGTGAGTTTGGTGCATCGATTAGCATGCAGTCACCGACCTTACAACATTTATTTCGTTGTTTATTCCAATTGATATCATCAAACGGAGTGGAGTGAATTTCCTTTCGTAACGATGAAACAAGATGCGTTATCGGCCCTTGGATTCTTTTTCCGTATAAATATGACATCGGCATGTAGGTCGTCCGACAGTAGCACCACATCTCAGCTGCGTAAAACATAAGGATATATAAAGAGAGTAAGACCGAGCTTGAATAATAGTTGCTAGTTAGAAAATGACAATACAACAAAATCAGGTTTATACGATGCCAGAAATGGTTAAATATTCTAATAGATTCTTTTGTAAGATTTCAGTTTATACGACCAAACAATTGTACATCATGTATAAAAGTATTACAATAAGTTTATAGGGCATTTTTTTCTTCTAAATAAAGTGTCATGTTAATATTTTTAATATGACATTTTCCAAAAATTGTATTATGAAAACAAACGTCGTATAAAAAGGTGTGTTCATAGAACACTTTATTTCAAAAATGTCCTAAAAACTTTATTAAGACGTCTAAAAGTATTATATGAACTTATTGCAATACATTTACATAGAACATAAAATTGTTTGGTGGTATACATAAAAAACAGGTTTTATAAAGCAGTTTATTAAGACACTTTGATATTTTTGGCGTCCTATAAACCAGATTTTGTTGTAGTATGTACAATTACCGGGATGGAAAGGAAATGCCGATGGGAAAAGCCAGAATTCTGGTGGCAATGGGTTGCAGCCTTCCCATTCATACACTCCAAGTACCTATATATGTAAATAATGGAGAAACATAATATATTAACCGTTGTTTATCAAATACTTACCCAGTAAATGCTTATCAATAAAATTTAATATTATCATTGATTTACTGGGTAACATTTTAGTCCACCAAAACAGTAGTCTATGCAATAATTTACCTGGTAAGCGCTTACCATGGTAAGAGTCGTCGCTCTCACTTGCCATGTAAGACTTTTAGTCCTTGGTTCGCTCTTACCGGGTAAGATTCTTGGTCCTTACCATATTCATCTGGTAAGGTAATGTGACTTGGTGTTCACTTACCCAAGTAAGTACTTGGTAAACGGCCCCTAGTCTTTGTATATGATATTATTAGAAAAATGTTTTTAAATAATAAAATATCTTATAAAAAATGTGTTTATTGTACGGTTCTTAGAAAACGTTAATACGTCACTTTCTTATAAAAGGATGCTAAAAAACGTGTTAGGGCGTGCAAAAGCATCATATAAATTTATGGTAATACATAGGACACAACATACAGTTGTTTGGTCCTATAAACTTATGTCTTATAAAACAGTTAATAGCTTCTCCAACAGCTTCTCTATAATTTCTCTAAAATAAAAAACTAAAAGTCAAAATATTTCAAATAAATTAAAATCAACTCCAACCTTTTCTCTATTTTAAAAATTATATCATTAATTATATTATTTAAATATTCTACAATCAACTCCAACATCTTTTCATTTCTCTCTCTTCTTTTTAGATTTTAGAGAATTCTCTGTATTTTGAGTTTTTTTCATGATTCTCTATTTTAGAGAATGAGATAGGGAAACTGTTGGAGCATTATATAGAATAAAAAGCTGATTTTCTCTATTATAGAGAAGTTGTTAAAGATGCTTTAATTATTAGTACAGTTTAATATATTTGTCGTCTTATAAAGCTGATTTTGTTGTAGTATACAATAGGAATATGGATTTGATAATTACTTACCGAAAGATAAACCTTTCCCCAAGAGGGAATAGAGGTTGCACCTCCATGGTCAAGTATCCATTTGCGGGCTCGAGTCATTGCACCATCGTTGTCGTCTTCTCCCTCTCCTAGTATTCGTAAAGCAACGTAACTCAATGCAGATCCAATCATCGTGCTATGTCCCTCGATATAAAACCCCCATCCACCGTCTTCATTCTATACATTTATACGACATTTTGAATTATATAACACGATCTCCTTTTCGATAGGGCGAAAATTAATATAAGGTAGAGAAAATTAAATTAGAGGAATTCGATTGCTTACTTGATGATTATAAAAGTATCGTATCATCTCTTTCTGGTGTTCTTTACTCAACACCGTATTAATGGTACCACTTACGTATAATGCGATCAACTGCAAATTGTTGGAGTTATTGGTAGCTTAAAATATATAATAAGGCTCACAAATCCAATTTTATATCTATGTGTGACGGGTTGTTACAATCCAAGTCTTAGCCTACGTGAGACTCTAACTCAATTCCTCCAACTGAGGCCAGACAAACGGAACTGTCTAAAAGTGTCGTGTCTCTAGAGTGGTCAAAATTGACTCTGATATTATGTGAGAATATATATATGGAACCCCATTAGATTACTTTTCAAAAGAGCCATTGATGAAAGAACGAATGTTTCAACATATGTTTTGTGTGTGTGCACGTGTGTGTGTGTGTATATATATAT